ATGATCCAGGAGACGTAGCTCGTACAGCTGAAACTTTATCTTTTGCTCTACCTGTAAGACGTTTCTGTCTTCTCTCCGCGCCTCTTCTCCACTTAAAACAGATTTTAACTTATCCATCACCGAAGATCTTAAAACTTCAGCCTACAAACTAATCTTGTAGTTTCCTGGAATGAAGAAAACTTTACCGCGTTTCCTCAAGTCTGAGCTGATGGATGATAAAGTCACGTGGCTGCTGAGAGCCGAGTGGAGGAGCTGTCACCTGGCCAGGTGTGGTGATTTCACCTGGTTACAGATGGGTGCAGCAGCCAAGAGGTCTCACTCTAACGAGTTTTCTGCCTGTTAAAGCGTCGCAGTCTTGCATCAGAGTTGGTTTTTAAGAAAACCACATCCTAGGAGCTCATCTGAACATGTGGAGAAGTCAACTCAAATGTGGCTGCTCTGTTAGTTTACATCAGTCACATGAGATCGCTGTTTTAACCTGTCTTACAGTCTAATGCCACAGACGTGTTTTAAATAAGTCAACTTTTTAAAGGAAACACATTCTGGTGTGGTGCCTTAATTTTAAGGAATAAAGATCTTACTTTAAACATTAATGGGTCTTTAAGACAGAACTAATTAAATGTTGTAACATAGATGATCCTTAAAAAGACCAGAGGACTGGAAAATGAAACACACCATGTGGGAAAAAGATGTACTTTAAACAGCCAAAGTAGATATTTATACTTTTATAACTGAACAGTTGTAATACTTGAAAACTCCACAGGAGGGAGGGTTTGTCTGAGGAGGAGCATGATCTCATCCAGCATCCGCAGCTGAACTGTTTAAACGTCTGAGGTTCCATCATGGCGTACGGAGCCTGTGTGTTTCTGTCCATCAGGTCTGTTAATCCTCATTCTTCAGTGGTTTCTTTTCCTGTCCCCTCCACGAGAGGACTTTACAAACACAGCAGATCACGTCCTCTTAACTAAAGTCGTACTAGTTCCAGTTGTTTGTTTGGATACTGGTTTCATCACCGTACTCAGTGTGGCGTAATTAAACGCCCGCTCCATACAGAATAAGTGCTTCCTGATGAATGACCTCATTCTCACTAAAAACCCAGACGTTTTATTTTTAACTGAAGTTTGGCAGCAAGCCTCAGATTCTTCGGGTATACAAGTACGTGGATCAGAACTTCTCAGAGTACACTCACATCGCCCTGGTTCTCTCCCAGATTCAGTGGATGCCGCCGGTTCATTTCAAGGTCCTGGCTCTGGTTTTGAGGGCCTTACATGGACACCACCAGCAGGTACCTGAGGTCCAGTGATCAAAGCCCACTGGTTGTGCTACAGCATCTCAACTTTGACATTCTGACCACCTTAAAGCACATTAAAAGCACTGGATCACTCTGGTGAATGAATCTGATGTTAAATGATGTGATAAAAATATGCTTAACATTGATGATATGAACTGCTGATTTTAGAAGTTACGCTTGTTGGCACTGAGTGTAGGACAGGTGCAGTCTGGTTCCTGAAAGGTATTCATCAGCCTTGGAATAAGTAGCTGCACTGTAACTGCGACCCTTTTGACTAAACCTTCTATCCATTTGTTAAATCTGAAGTTATTATCTACATTTCTTTGTTTGATTGACTGTGTTTGCTGTTCTTACTTCTGTAAAGCACTTTGAATTGCCTTTGTGTTTGAAATGTTGTACACAAATAAAGCTGCCTTGTCTTGTCACACACGTTACTGCTGCTCTCCTGTGTGGATCCACTGGTGATGCTTCAGATTCCCAGATGGAGCAAAGGTTTGCTCACGCTGGTGACGATTCAGATTCAATAACTGGAAAAAGCTTTTCCTACACTGGTCACAGGGAAATTACCCTTCTCCTTTACTTTATATATATATATATGTGTGTGTGTGTGTGTGTGTGTGTGTGTGTGTGTGTGTGTGTGTGTGTGTGTGTGTGTGTGTGTGCATCATCAACAGGAGTATGAGAGCCTTCGTTACTAACTCAATGAGGCTGCAGAAGAAACAACCCTTGAGGCCAAGTGTCCCCACTGTTGTTCTGCATAGGTCTGAACCCCCTCAGCAAAATAAACCAAGACTGGCTATGGATACCAACTCAAGAATGGACCTTCCCTCTACATGGATGACATAAAGCTGTACTCCAAAAGTGAGCAAGACATCGACTCACTGATCCCCACCACCAGGAAAGCATACATGGAACACCACAACCAACCAACTGGCATCGTGTACAGAAACATCTGTACAGAGTACGGACTGGAAGCCCCGAGGTCAAAGTGAGTAACACCCCCTAAGGTGGTTGAGAATGAGAGAGCCAAGCTCCTGTGGGACTTCCAGATCCAGACTGACAAAATGGTGATGGAGAACCAACCGGACATTGTGGTGGAGGACAAACAGCAGAGGGCAGCCATTGTGGTTGATGTGGCAATACCAAGTGATGGCAACATGAAAAAGAAACATGAGACACTAGAGAAGTACCAGGGCCTCAAAGATGAACTTGAGAAAGCCTGGAGAGTGAAGACGTTGGTGGTGCCCGTGGTCATAGGGGCAGTAACCCCTCACCTGGAGGAGAGGCTAAAGCAGATCCCAGGAAAACATCAGACATCTCTGTCCAGAAAAGTGCAGATCTAGAAACAGCTAAGATACTGCAGAACCCTTGTCACTTCTAGGACTTATTACTATAACTCTCTTCTCTTTGGTCTCCCCCACAAATCCCTTCACTGACTCCAACTCCTCCAAAATGCTGCTGCATGATCATCACCTGCACTCCCTTCAGAGATCACATCACACCTGTTCTTCAGCGTCTGCACTGGCTGCACACTGATTACAAAATGTCTTTCAAAATCCTCCTCCTGACCTACAAATGTGTCCATTGTCTTGCAATGGAACATTTTATTAAAAAGCTATATTTGAACAAATGATACCTCAGAAGGGTGCAGAATGAATGTACTTCTTTTAAGTTATATTTAAAAGGACAAATAATCAAATTTTTATTCTGTCGGCATGACACTGTTTATGTTTACATCTAGCAGCCACTAGAGGGCACCGTTGCACTAAAAAGTCCACTCAGCAAGGCGAGGCTGGGACAGTAAAATGGCGGACTTAACAAGCCAAGCAGCTGGTTCGGAGCCCAGAAGATGTTCTAACAGAAAATACCGTTGTAAAATAAACTTATTAGTAGAAATTAGTCCTTATCCTGTGCGATTTGTCTCTGAACATGATGCTGGAACGTGTCAGCATTGAACCAACATCCCAGCCGCTGGAAAATTGGTCCCGTTGTTGCACTACCAAACACTGGAATTCGCCATTGTCCATGTTCCAAGTTTCACTGGATATGTTCTGTATTTCAATTATTTTTTCTTTAGGGTGACAGAAAATCTGATGACTGTCCATCATTTGACAGATTGGAATTCACACCCTCGTGTCATGCATGTGCATACAGACTGTTTTGGGAATCTTGCTTCTGTTTAGGTTAATGGTTCTCAGTCCTGGTGCTGGAGGGCCGGTATCCAGCTCGTTGGAGTGGTTTCTCTGCTCCACCTGTGCAGCAGCTAATCAAGCTCTACACAAGCCTGTTAACTACCTGCTGATTGAAATCTGGTGTGTTCAAGCAGGATTAAAGCTAAAACATGCTGAATACCGGCTCTCCAGGACCCGGATTGAGAACCACTGGTTTAGGTTAATGGTCACAACCATGAGTGATTTGTAAACCAGAGTAAACGTAGCAGAAAAAACACGATAAAAGTTTAAAACATTCTGAGTTTTTTATGGTTCACATTCCTCTTGGTGACTGAGACAAGGAACTTTTAAAACATTTAATTCTGAAGATAATTCCACGGGATATACACCGAGGTCCCACTGGTTAGGATCAGCCTCCACTCAGGTTTTTAACAGCAGAAAATGGAAATCTTTTCATCTATTTTTTAAACTATTGAAAAAAAGAGGGATGTAAGGGAAGAAGAGTTAACTTTTGGACATCAGGTTGTTTCAGTGACCCTCGTAAGCAAAGCATCGTTTCTTCGGCTTGAACTTTCAGCCCAAACTCAGGGATCTTTTCCAGATGAAGGTCAGCATCTTCATAACGTTCCTAGAAAGGGATTCACTAATTAGTCACAAGCTTCTAGCACCACTTTGACACGTATGCAGATAAATAACTGTGTTAAAAGGACCAACCTAACACATTGGGTGTATGACAGACTGTACCTGCAAATAAAATACATAAAATATTATGAATTACCTATGATTTTAAACTTGTGGAGTCCACCAAGGGTTCATTCAGAGCCCCATCATTGTACTTGCTGCCTTTGGGATCCATTCTGAGAAAAAACAAACTGGAAAACAATTTCTCATTCTGCGTATTTTTCTGTCTTTTGTTTTAATTTATAGAAAATGTTTTTTCCCTGTTTTTTTTTACTCACTTTTTTTACCCCAAGACATTTTTTTCATTTGCTTTGCTGATGGCAGCTCTCTGGTTTAGGCTCCATTGTTTATAATGTTCTATACTAATGAGACTGACTTCACAATGAAAACAGTGAGCTGAAAAGGAGACAGAACAGGAGCTCACATGAAATATGATGAGACAGTAGCATGTCCAAAGTTCCTCTGCTAAAAAAGAAAAGCAAGAATCACTTTAAAAGACCCAACCTGATAAAGAGAGCTAGTAGTGAAGGAATAAATGATTGAAAGCTTGCTTTAAAATTCGTCGTCGTCTTCCTCCGCTTATCCGGGTCCGGGTCGCGGGGGGCAGCATCCCAACTAGGGAGCTCCAGACCGTCCTCTCCCCGGCCACCTCCACTAGCTCCTCCGGCAGGACCCCAAGGCGTTCCCGGACCAGATTGGAGATGTAAACTCTCCAACGTGTCCTGGGTCGACCCGGGGGCCTCCTGCCAGCAGGACACGCCCGAAACACCTTCCCAGGGAGGCGTCTATGAGGCATCCTGACCAGATGCCCACACCACCTCAACTGGCTCCTTTTCGTGAACAAGACCCTGAGATACTTAAACTCATCCACTTGAGGTAGGACCTCTCCCCCGACCCGGAGTTGGCAAGCCACCCTTTTCCGGTTGAGAACCATGGTCTCAGAGTTCTTCAGTTAATGCAAGAATACGAACAGCAAGTCTTGCTGCTGCAGCTCGGTGCATTTTGGCATCCAGATGCAGTGAAGATTCGTTTCTGAAGTTCAAGCTGAGCATCAGAATGAGGAAGAAAATGACCATTGGTACCAGAGAGGCTGTCTGAATAATTTAGAAACTGCTGATCTGTGAAGAGAGGAACCTAATAAAGCGACAGATAAATGTGTTGTTTTATTCTGATTATTGTGGAAACTCCAAATCGCTGAGTTTCAGTTATAGCTAATGCAGATGAAGAACGACTGAGGGGACCCGATGCCCGTGGGCCTCAGGAGATAACTCCGTATGGTGTTTGGGTTCGTCTTGAACATTTAACTCAATTTTCTCACGTTAAAGAAAATAAAGAAAAAGTAGAGCACAAATATGAAAAGACCCACTTTTCGCGTTTCCAGTAACAGTAAATAATTTACTGACTGTTTCCAGCACTTAATGGCACAAATAATAACTAATGAATCCAAATAAGAAGCAGGCCTTCCAGAAAAACCTCACTCTTATGTGCAAACTGATAACACAGACATGACAGAGTATAACATGATATGTTGCTGCAAAATAAATACCAAGTAAAGCTAAACAAAGTTTACAGCTGAATAAATCAGGCAGAGGTGGAGGTATATTCCTAAAGTAAACCTTGGTTGTATTCCTTTGCTCCATCTGTGTTGCTGCTGCTGAGCCGATCAGCATCACATCCCTGATTTCGCCGTGATATCAACAAGTTTGTGTGTTCTCGACAGTCGTCCTCGTTAAATTTCATCCTCTGATTCGGCGTCACGCTCCCTCGTCTTCAGAAGTCCCATTTCAACTGGAGGAGTCCTCTTCAACCGGGAGCGGACCACGCTGAAGAGAAAGAAGAACAAATCCCAGAGTGACCCAGTGTGTTTGTCCAGAAATGACACAACCTGGAAGATTTGCAGGACTAACGAGATACAGTTCCTCAGAAGTCTGCAGATTCTCACCAGCTCACAGTGCAGTACAGCACGCCAGCGACAAGCATGGCAAAGGCCAGGTGCCAGGAGTAGCACATGGTGATAAACATCATGTTGCTGTGGTCCTTCAGGTCCCACGCAGGCCCACTGGGAGGGTACAGCACAAAGCCAATCTGTTGCCAAAGAAAAACGTGAGGAGTCTGTGTACACACACTGATGAACAAGTCACTGACTCTACGTCCCCTTTCAGATTTACCTCCCAGAACCAGGAGCCCTGCAGGAGCGTGAGGGTGCAGCGCAGCAGCTCCAGAATGATGTTACCTCGGTGGAAGACCTCCAGGAAGGCAATCAGAGCCTGTCCAAAGACGGCATAGAGAAGGAGCTGATGCACATGGACGTCAAGCATGCTCCTCCCGTGGAGGTGATACAGGAACAGAAATCCTGCAAAAACATCAAAATTAAAACCAACAGATGAAAGTCCGTGGGAGAAAACTGAATAAACGAGTGGCGAGAGTGAGACTGCACAGCTCATTGCTGCCTTGTTGGTATGGTTTCATTTCCAGTTTTCTGTGGAAACAAACTTAAAGTGAGCAAGTTTGTGAGTGACCGTCGTTGTAAAGTGCATTGGGGGGTTGCAGAACTCTGGAAGGCATTGTACAAATACAGGCCATTACCCATCTAGCAGCAGAGATGCACTTTGGGGATATGGACAGAGTTAGCTCCAAAATGGACAGCTGCAATTTAAAATAGCTCTAATCTCCCTGATTTTACATTTGATGCCTGCGACAAAAATTTCAGATGTCTCTGTAAACGTGGGCGGGGCAAAGACGTGTTAGTAAACGGCCGTGAGCAGTGTTGCTTTGGGAGACTCTGATGTGAAGCACACAGCTTCCTACCGTCTCACTGAGACTGCTGTGTGCTTCTCACAGCAGCCTGTCGTCGCGCTGCCGCGGCTGGAGCAGCAGGTCTGAGAGAAGAGGTTCACCCCTGCATCTAGACTGAAAATGAACCTGCACGGGGAAGCCGCTGCTGGCTGATGCTACCTGCCAATCAGAGGCTCCCTCTATAGGTAGGCATGATCAGTCTGTAGCAGATGTGCTGCAGATGTGACTGCCGAGAGCAGGTCTACAACAAAACAGTCACCTGAGCACGGAGAACGCACAGATGACCCAGATGTGAACCCAAATAACCTACCAGGGTCAGACTGGGCCGACCCAGTTGAGAAAGCCTCAGTAGGTCCAGTGTTCTTTAGATTAAATGCATCATTTTTGCATCTGTGAACAGAGCCAGTTTAGTCTCGTCTGCCCAAAGGATGCTCTCCCAGAAGCTCCTGTGTTTTAAGGTCACATCACCATCACTTTCTCCAGGATGGCTTCATTTGTTTTTTATTGAACTGAACCACAGTCTGAAGCATGGTCTGATGTTGTGAATTTAGTCATGTCTGAAGTTACTTTAATCAGCTTCAAGGTGATTTGGTGAACATTGTTGATTTTTGTCCTTTAACACAAGAACACGAACAGTCTGATCTACTTCTGTGGGGAAATAACACTTCGATGGCTTATCAAAACACGTGTTTCCTTTGCGGAGGTCTTTGAGATCACAGGTCTCACACTGAATAAACAGACTTACCTTCATTAAAGAAAGCGATGCCCAGCATCAGCCTGTCCAGAGCCGGCGGTGCTGCCTCCGTGCTGTGGGTGATCAGAGACACCGCTGCAGCCAGGCCAAAGAACAGGTACATGGTAGCGTGTTGCCAGTTATGCAGGTACTTCCAGTGCTTCTCCTCAAAGTCATACAGATGCAACCTCGGCCCGTCTGCCACGAACTGCTCAGCCAGCATCCCTGTGACACACGGCAGAGGAAACACTCGGGTCTGCTTCAGTAACGAGCAAACGCAATAATCAGGTGGCTGAGTCATTCTTTGTTTGTACAACTAAACAGAAACAACAAGTTGCTTACCAACAAAGGAGAAGAAGAGAATAACAGAGCTTTCAATGATCTCCAGGCGTCGCTGTGAGGCTCTGCTAGCAAAGCGGGTGGAGCCTAAGCTCCTGTTCCTGCGCGTGGCGTGCCAGAGCGAGTACTTCCCCGTCCACCAAATCCCAGCCACATAAAAGAAGCAGCCAGGGAGAGCATGGCCCTGGAAGCTGCCCATGACCACTGAATCACAGAGGGAACCAGAGGAGCACACTGCTCTGATGTTAGCGTTTACACGTTCATGATGGATATCACACCTTCTGGCTCAGCCATCATCAAACACTCCAGAGTAAGATGTTACAGCCTTACACAGTTAACAACACCCGGGATTACATTACATATGTGAGGTAATGCCGGGGATGTTTCAGCTCATCAGACGTAACTAGTAGATGTGCTGGCCCCAGCTCAACAGCATCAGCACAGCAGTCTAGTTAAAATCCCTTTTATATCAGATCAAATCCTTGGTTTCATATTTTTACTCTCCAGTTAAAGCAGCAGAACCTTTTCAAAGGGACTTAGCAGAATGCTGTAAATGTTAACGTAATCTAAAAACTATAAAAATAAATAAAAATAAAATAAAAGGCACTGCTTATTACTATGTCTGTTGTTTTGTTCACATTTTTCTGTTTAACACATCATGTATGATTGAAAATGCTGTAACGTTCTCTATTCTCTGCCAGCATACATGATCTGGGTATTTCTGCTCAAATATTTTAAGCTTTTTCTAATAAAACCGTTGGTATGGGATGCAGAGTGGACATGAGAGAGTTGCAGAGCAGAGCTTGTTGCTCGTGTGTCCTCAGAGCTGCTGTAGTTACTCTTGCTCACCAGAGGGGCGCTCTTGCACACGGGAAAATTGTTTGTTTATATGAAAAATTCCTTTTCATTTTCATTTCATGCCAAACTCTGCTCTGGTATCCTGCATACTTAGACGTTTCTCTGCTCCGTCACATCTGACTTGAACCAACTGAAGACTGATCACTTCTGCAGAACCTGAGACCGTGCTGAACAGGTAACGTCACCACTGAATCAGGTGAAACCGATAGTTCAGCGTTCCCCAAGTTTGACGCACCTTTGGGGCTCTCAGTTTTTGTTTTTTCACACATCTTTTCTAATTGTTGCTCAACACCTGATGGAGAGGGATGCAGTTTGTGATTCATGATCAAATTTCCAAGAGAAGGGAATCTGTTCAGAGAAAGTGACTCAGTTACAACTTGGTTTGTTAGGAAATGCAATGAAAAGACTCATAAGAGTTTGAAAACGCAGTAAATATGAATGAGATTAGTTCACCAGAGGTTTAGTGCTCTGAAAATTAAGTGAGCTCAGAATAAGAACAAGGCTGCGTCCTCTGCTTTGTGATGGAAATGACAAACAGAACCAGCAACAAGAACCTTTTGAAGCATGACAGCGAATTCAAAAGGATCGTTTGAGACATTCACGAGAGCTCATCTGTGCTTCAGATCAGAGGGCCTCTCAGCCAGGAGCCTGGGTGCCACCTCCTCTTCAGGGTGAGGAACACATTGTGGTCGTCATGGCAACCGTACAGCAAGTTTCATCAGACTCGGATTCATTTACTTACAGTCCTCAACATCTGCTTTTTTGACCACATTTACCTTAAAATCACCATTTATTAAATGAGAAAACTAGTTAGAATCAACATGAATATGTTCAATAACATATTCTACATTTTTGAATTTATATTTAAATGTAGTTTTAAAATCAATTAAATGAGCTTCTATGCAAATTTAGACTAATCAAACAAACGAATGTGGCTTTCCAAATAAAAAAGGATGATGTTAGGAAATCTCATCCAACATCTCAGAGGACCTTTGACAGTAGAATTGAGGTTCATGCAGGTAGATTCATGTGCAGGTAGATTCATGTGCAGGTAGATTCATGTGCAGGTACATTCATGTGCAGGTAGATTCATGTGCAGGTACATTCATGTGCAGGTACATTCATGTGCAGGTAGATTCATGTGCAGGTAGATTCATGTGCAGGTAGATTCATGTGCAGGTACATTCATGTGCAGGTAGATTCATGTGCAGGTACATTCATGTGCAGGTAGATTCATGTGCAGGTAGATTCATGTGCAGGTAGAACCGAGACACGAACAACATTCCGAATGCCACGATGTGAGGGTGAGGATGATGAGCGATCGCAAGCAGACAGGTAAGCTGAAAGTAAATCACCTGGCTGGATCTCTCTCATCTGCATTTAGGTCCTCATCTCAGGAAACCATGACATGGAGGTTATATTAAAGGTGTTGAGCACACATTTAATCAATAAATTTGCTTTTGTCTCTAGTAGGAATGAATCCCTTGTAAGTTGTACCTGCAAACAACATTTCTAGGAACCAGCAGCGAGCCACATCACAGCTGGGCTTCAGACAGCAAATTATGGAGTCTTATTTCCTGAAATTTGGACATCTTGCCTTGGATTGGATAACAGCAATGTGACTTGCAACGAAGATGGTTTTTCTCCACAAACAACACAAGCCTGGAGGAGTTTTTCTATGTGGTGGAGTTGCTTATGCTAACAGTTAGCTTCTGCTAGTCAAGATGTTCTCTGCTGTTTCCTGGATGCTGAACAAACAACAGCCTTCCCTGTCAGGCTTTTCTAAGAGTTTCCCCATCTAATTCCTATCAGACGCTAATGTAGGAGACTATTTTCATGTTCAGCCTGCATGAAAAATTCAAGAGTGACCAGTTGTAACCAGAAAAATAATTTAGGTTTTTTTCAGTGTTCAACACCTTTAACCCACAGTCTCATGATTTTATACAGAGGTAGACAGAAGCTTGTGCTTGAAAAGGAGATTTAGATTTTACTGATTTTAACGCAGTTGTCACTTTACAAATTGCAGTTTGACTCTGCGTTGCTTACTGTTAAACAATTTGGATTTAAGTTAAAACTAATATAATTGCTTACATAAAACAGGGTTAAAGTGATTTTAAAAACCACAAAAATGCATAATATGTAGAAATTGAACAATGAGGCTATTCTTGGCGTTTTACTTCAACAGTAAGTTTCTGCACCTCACTCATAACTAATTCAGTGAAAACTTGCAAGTTTTTAGTCATAAGTGATGAGTGTATTGCACATTTTACCATAACCGTTGAAACATTTCTATATTACCCAGCAGCCTCTAAATATAAGCTGTTTAGAACAAGTTTGCACATTTTGCAATAAAAGGAACAGACCCGATGATACCCATTCTCCCCAGACATGGTTTAATGTCTGTCCTACAGTCTTTTTATACTTTTAAGGGTAAACATGGATAAAGTGTGTTTATAGGATAGCTAAATTTATGATAAATGTGTTTAGAGATATGTTAAAGGACACGGAAAGCACGTCTTGGATATGAAGAAAGAAAAGGATGATGATGTGGAGGGGGTGTCTTACCTCTTTGTCCCTTCAAATTACAAAAAAACAACTATATTCAGAGAGAAAACCCAAAGTGTCTTGTTTTTTCCATCTTAGATGATTTTCCCAGCAGGAAGAAGTGATGATGAGTCCTCCCTTCCACAGCTAAACACAAAACAAACACCAGTAGTCTGCCTGGCTCAGACACTCCGCTGCTCCCACACCACATCTGTTTTTAACTTCTGTTCCCACCCAGACCAACATTTGTTCTTCCTTTTAACCCCGTGGGCGTCTGCTTCTCTTTCAACGACCCCCATTGGTAGAAAGCCGGGCAGTGACGTCAGCGCCCCATGCGTTCATTGGCTGCGGGTGCCGTCAGTCTCGGGTTTCCACGTGTGCACTTTCACTCCGCCCGCCCGGCCCGGCCCGGTCTGTCTTCTCTCACAGGATACCGTTACTTTGCTTGGTCCCGGGATGGGGGCGGGGCCACCGGGAGACACGAGCTGTTGCACGTAGTCTGCATCTGGAGAACGTCGGTGACTCACTCCAGAAGGTCCGCCCAGAAGCAAACATCTGGCTAAGATTAGGGCCACAAACGGCTCCAGACAACGATCTGTTGATTTTAATACTCATGAGTAGGGTTGGTGGAAGATGCTAGCGCGCAAACAGAATGTTGTGAAGAGAAAAACGAGTTATTACAACTTTAGACAAGATTTGTTTACACGTGACATCATCACCAGCTCTAGTTTGTTTTTCTCCAGCCTTAAAGGAGGCTGTCCAGATCAGCAGGCCCAGGCAGTGGAAAATGCCCTCCTCCTACTGTAGAAGTGCTGCTTACTCGACATGCACCAACATCAGCCATCATTTACAACACGCGTACACCCTGCTATGCATGAACATGTTGAATATGTCTCAGGAGTGACATGGCCCTTTTGAACCCTCATATAAATGAGCTATTACTCCTCCGTGTTTTCTCTGCTATACTCACCTGATCTGAAAAGGCTCTGGTAGAGCTGTGATGTTATTATGGGATTCTAATATTAATATTCAAACACATATGGTTAAAGGAGACAACATTTGGAAGTTACACACTGGGACACAGACAAGAACATCATTGTTGATAGCAATCCATGGCATAAACTACAAGGGTGTGTCATGTCAGTGGTGTTTTATTCAAAACGCACCAGGAGAACAGGACTGTGTGTGTTTGAGAACAACTGCTGCTGACCGTGTTCATCAGAATCTCAACGGTGGGTTAAATTTGAGTGAAAATTGTTCATCTACTAAAGATTTTATGTCACTTTAACATTAGAATTGTATTTATTTATTTAATTTAAGAAGAGTAACCCCATGATATGTGGCATCTCGTTTTCATGAAGGTCCTCTTAAACAAAATAAAGAAAGCAATGAGAAACGACAGAAGGCAGCCATGACTATGTACGATTAATGAAAGCAATAAATAGTTTCTAAATCATAGTAATAATAATAAATAAATGTATATCAAAAACGGAAACATTTACAAACCATTATACACACGCGCACACACACTCGGACCAGCACCTGTAGTTCACCCGGGCCCGAAAATGAAGCCAACACTGAAGTGACTGAAATTGCAGTTCCCCCCTCATCCACTAGGGGCTGCCACCAGAAGTGAGCAGATCCTCATTGACTCCCGTGTTAAAATGCCAATTTCACAGCAGAAATAAACATGTTTACAGTCTGGTTCAAATGACCATTTTAGGTTTAATAGATCCATTTTACTCTCATGACAATTCTGAAGAGGGCACATTTTTGTAACTCTTCTGTTTAAGTGGAACTTAGTGCTTAAAATTCTGAATAATTAATGAGCATCAGAGTGACATGACTTCAGAGCCTGCTCCGGGAATAGGCCTGGGCCTGAAGGTCACTGTTCCCAGCTACGACTGCAGCGGTCTGAGGCTCCGCCTGTGATTTAACAGTGCCAGTCCATATTAAGCCTGGTTTATGCTTCTCCGTCAGCTCCGCAAGGGACAGACACGCACGGATTGACGGAAGCGTTTTGCTCTCATACTTCTCCGTCTCCTGGGGAGTGTTGCAAAGCAATTCCCCGGCAGGACAGCAGAGGGCGTAGCGCTGTTCTGTGGTATCCTGTCATGTATCGGTCCAAGATGGTGTGTTTATGTTGTGTTTTTTGTGTATATAAGAGACTTTAAACACGGACATATTTCTCCTCCACCTCTTCATGCGCTCGCCACCTCTAAACCCACGTTTCCTGTCATTTCTGTCCACAAATAAAACGCTTGCTGTGCATCTTTTCACTCCTCCAGTCACGGGAGAATTAAACGTTCATATTTTTATAGTTTTTTAGCGAGGTATTCTTCAAGCTTCTCTGTGTCTGTCGCTAGTTATCCTCGGCTCTCTTTGCAATGGCGGCGCTGTAAACAACAGCGGCGTCCTGACCAATCACAAGCTTGCGTAATCCGTCTCGTTCGACGGATGTTTAAAAAAGTGGGCTCGACTCCGTACGTACTTGCGTGCCAGCCGGAGCCCTACGCAAGGACGAATAATGGCGTTGCGTGTCTCCGCACTGACGCAGACGGAGAAGCAGGCTGAAGTCTGTAGTACATCAGCATACTTGGTCTGTCCAGTTGCAAATGCCTCTGTTTGCATTCTGTCAGTTTGAAAGAACAACAGATCTGTGGAAGAGGGGTTTGGAGGAAGATCTTAGCTGTTAGAACAACAATGGTTTGGAGATACAGATATTAGGTCTGACTGGACAAGTCAGCTAACAGCGAGTCCATGCAGAATCAAGACCAAAGCAGATTGATTTGCATCAGTTTTGGAATAAACTGTGATAACATCATGACGTCCAGATGTAGAAATCCATTTTCTACAGAAACCTTCTTGAAAACATCGGAACAATACTGTCTATGATATTCCAACATCAGGCCTTCCGCTGACAGTGAACCAGGTGGGTTTGGTGTTCATGCAGGACTCAGGACGGGGAGGAAGTCTGGAGGTCTTTGAGAGTCACATGACCATGCAGGCAGTGTAAATACAGGACCATCATGGGACAGCGGTGCGGGACGAAGACCAGCAGGGAAGTTCTATCATGGATACGTGACATGAAGTTTGTTTCCTCCACAGCCATGCACTGAAACACATTACAAAACACACCGTCACTCTCTTAAAACGTTCTTTTCTTTTTTTATCCAACTGAGCCAATAATTTATGCAAACATTGATTTCCCACACTGATGCCAGGAAGTAATTTCCCACTGATTTACAACAACCACATGCACAGCTGGATCAGCAATGATCCTGACTGTTAGCTGGAAGGACAATGGATCTGTTGAAATCAGGTCAAATCTGAATTAGCAGCACATAACATGAAGTCAGAGGTCCACTAAAAACACTTGCAACATACTGACTCAGTGTCGAATAAAAAATATTTAATGTTTAATAAACACAGAGGTAATATAAGTGAACATAGATAACCTTTAAAGCAGCAGTTTTAGTTCTACGCTGTGGCAGATAAAGTAATGCATCATTACCAGATACAAGCTAAAACCTCCAGGAAACATTTATTACAGTCATTATCTTGAACATCTAAACTCAAAGTGCTTATTTTTAATAAATCATTTACAATTATAGCTTTCACTTAGACAATTAAATGCTTTTGCTTCTAAGTTTTAGGGGCTGCATGGTGGCGCAGTGGTTAGCACTGTTGCCTCGCAGCACGAAGGTCGCAGGTTCAAAACTCGCCTTTCTGCGTGGAGTTGCGTGTTCTCCCCGTGCATGCGTGGGTTTCCTCCGGGTACTCCGGTTTCCCCCACACATCACAACATGCCCTACAGGTTATAAAAAAAAAAGGAAAAAAAAAAAACTTGTACGTCGCTTTGGATAAAAGCGTCTGCGAAATGAAAAGACATAAACATAAACATAAGTTTTATCTACAAACCCTCAAATATTTAGTATTTGATTCTGAGTTTAATCAATCCCAAAGTAATCTTACAGCGAGCTCACAGATTTGTTTAAAAAGACCTTAACCCTCCCACTGTCTTTATGGGTGACCCCGCGAGTAAAATTAACCACTGAGCAGGATTGATGGTTCATCCCTTGGGTCCATGTGGCGGGGGTGAGGAGTGAGCACCACCTCACCCCCGCCACATGGACCTCTAGGGATAAACCATCAATCCTGCTCAGTGGTCCACTTTCCTCGCGGGGTCACCCATAAAGACAGTGGGAGGGTTGAACATATCACAGTAAATGGCCCCGATGTCTGGCCCAAGGATGGACATTCTTCAACTTTTCTGATGAATGGTGATGTTCTTCCACAGACTGAAGTCAGCGATGTCTTCGCAGGGAAAGCTGACGACGAAATGTGAAGAGCCCTTTTGGAGGGGAAATAGGGCCGTCTGCAGATCTTCTCCTCCTCTCGTCTGAGAGCCTCCTGACCTGAGTACCTGCTGTGTCACTGCTCCTGCGGTGCAGATTCTGCTCTGGCCTCCGATCCTTGATTATCACCCAGGAGAAAGATGCGTTAGGGCCAGTCCTGAGGTTGCAGGCTTTCAGGGAGCTTCATGCTTCTACAGATGCTGGAGGTATTTTTTATTTGTCTGTTTGTTTACATATCAAAGCCCATCATGCACATCCAGGAATCAGCTGTTTTCATGTATTGGAGATCTGATGTCTGGCATGCTGAGAATACAGGGAACACAGTGCTGACAGGACACATGCACCTGAGCAGCTTGTCTCACCTCTTTGTGGAAACGGTGTGAGCAGGGAAGCTCTTCAACTACCCCACTTTTACACAGATCTTCATGACAGATCAAGCGCAGCTTGTCTTCATTACTCTGTAACATAAACACAAAACAATATGACAGGATGTTTAGACACAACCTGAAATGGGACGCAGCCCACAAACCCAAGAAAACACAGACCACAGAACAGAACAGAACCTGCAGGTTTTTCACACACACATGAGCCAAACCAGGCTCAAAACCTCGGGGACACACACCTTTCTCATAGGAACCAGGCCAACACTGGAGCTTTCACACACGCAGACAGCCGAAACTCTCAAACACAGAGCTTCGGCACCACCAAACCCACAAAGCCACACAGACAGCCATGATCAGCAAGCGGCGGACGAAAACAACAGACACAACACCAAAAAACCGATGAGGAGCACACAAATCATGAATTTTTAGTTCGACTCGAGGTTTTAAGCCCAAAAGCAGACATGTCCAAATCAGTGACTACGTTTACATGCAGCCAATATCCGGGTTATGATCGGGTTAAGGTCGGGATTCGGGTTTCTGAGTTGATCAGAATAACCCGTTTACAAGCATAAATAGAAAGAGTTACCCCTAACTTGCATAACCCGGTTTAAATGCGGACGTTGGGGTAGCGTCAGGACGTATGGACTACGTCCAGACGCAGTATGCGTCATTTCCGGTTCTTCTTGTTCTGGTATCCGTGAAAACAACAACATGTTTCCCAGTTCGGAAGAGATAGCGACCGCGTTTGTTTGCGCTTTAGTTTCCTCGCCACTCCAAAAGTGTGGTGCTGTGCCGCGACTCGCCATGTTGCCCCCAACTTGTTGTTTACTTCCGGTGTTCTGGCGCATACAAGACGTCTCGCTACTCAAAAGACCAAGATTCCTTGCGAACAGAGCATGTGCAGAACACACGCTTTGATGGGGATATTCCGGTATGCGTTTACACGACCAAACATTCGGGTTAGAAAAGGGTTACCCCAGGTGTAGTAAACCCGGTTGGATGTCATCTGCATAAAGATGGTAGAAGATTCCTTTGAAGGAGCTCAGGATGTGCTGAAGAGGAAGCAGACAGAGGAGGAAGAGCAGAGGCCCCAGCACAGAACCTTGTGGGACACCATGGGTAAGAGAGGTGGTGGAGGACCTAAACTTGGAGACGGCCACAGAAAAGGAGCGCCCAGAGAGATAAGAGGAGAACCACTCCAGCGCAGATCCTGATAGGCCTACCCAGTCTCTCAGCCTCTCCAGTAGCAGGTGATGGTCAACAGTGTCAAAGGCTGCAGTCAGGTCCAGCAGGACCAGAACAGAACAGTCCCCTGCATCACTGTGGGTCAGAAGGTCATTAGAGACCCTAAGAAGAGCTGTTTCAGTAGAATGAGCTCTACGAAAACCTGACTGGAAGCTATCATAGATGTTCTGTTCATCAAGAGCAGCTGTGAGTTGTTTAGCCACAACCTTTTCCAAGATCTTGGAGATGAACGGAAGTTTAGAGATGGGTCTGAAGCTGCTATGGAGAGAGGGGTCGAGACTCGGTTTTTTAAGAAGCGGGTGGATTACAGCATTCTTAAAGTAAGCAGGGACCTGACCAGAGACCAGAGAAGCATTAATTATAGAGAGCACGCTGGGACCGATGGACTGAAAAGCACTTTTAAACAAAGATGAGGGTAAGATGTGGAGGGGGCATGCAGAGGTCTTCATAGAGTTAACTAGTTTGGTTAACTCAGGCAAAGAAACAGGAGCAAAGCTATCTAGGATGATGGGCCTGGTTGGAGTCGGGAGAGGCGGCGATAAGGCTGAAGGAGAGATGCTAGATCTAACCTTATTGACTTTGTCCACAAAGAAAGACAGAAAGTTCTCACAGTCTGCAACAGAGTGGATGGAGGCTGTAGGAGAGGCAGGAGAGACGATGCTGCTGATGGTGTTAAACAGCACCTTGGGGTTCCCTTTGCTCTGGGACACCAGGTTGGAGAAATAGGAAACCCTGGCATCTCTGACTGCAGAGTTAAAGGACGTCAGAAGATCCTTTAGGTGCAGCAGATGGACGTGGAGATGGGTTTTCTTCCACAAACGCTCAATGTTTCTGCATTGGCGCTTCAGGCTGCGAAGGCTGTCATTAAACCAGGGAGTAGGGTTCACTGCAGGAACTGATCTGGTTCTGACAGGACAGATGTTGTCCAGAATGGAGAGGCAGTGCTGGTTAAACTGAGAAGTTAAGGAATCTGGGTCGTTATCAGAAGAACAGGGTGGATCAAAAGCAGCAGAAACATTTCTAGCTGTGCTCTCATTAAGAAAACGAGAACTAACCATACGGCGAGCAGGAGGTGGGGACGCAGCTGACAAGTTAAAGAAAATGCAATGGTGATCTGAAATATAAACGTCCTCAGGACAAACACTGTTGTTGCAAGCTCCCGCCTGCTAGAACCACAGAAGGTAATAAAGGAGGTCACAAAGGAAGAGGTCACAATGGGAGAGGCCACATGGAAAGCAAAGATAAGCGGAGCCTGCTGATGCGAGTGGAATCGAGGCAGGTGAAGACAGGAAGTGAACCAACTGAAGAAAGCATCACAGGATGTGATGCCCTCTTTGAGGAAGCTTGAGCTTTGGGTGGACCTGAAACCATCTTACAAATGACAAATGATCACATTGTTTTGCTGTCTTGAGGTTAACTGATATATGTAATGCAAAATACGCCACTCTGAAAAAGGGCTTGTAACATGAAAATGCTATACAATGGAAAATGCTTTGCTTTGCAGTTTTTAGAATGATATATAAGAGCAGTTAGAAGTTGTTGAAAACAGTAGCAGCGGTAGAAGAGGAAGTAGCAGCGACAGTTGCAGGAAGAGAAAGGAGTTTTTTTCTCAGGGAGAGATTTAGACGCAGCATACTCGAAAGGGGATATTTAATCTTAGCTTTACGCTTTTTGTATCTTTTAAATTTTGAAATAAACTTTTTGGAAAAAGAATCCTCGTTCTTGATTCTTAAAGGACTCTTTATCCTTTTGAGTGGGAGCCCCGACCAGACCTAACAGGAGAGGTAAGCCGCCTTATTTCTTGTACCTGCTTCTCAGGACTTGTTTTTCAGTTTGTGACAGATTAATAAAATATACCTTAGGTAATGGGAGCCATGTCTCCCCTCCTCCCTAGAGTAACGGGACAGCCTAAGGGTGATAAGCCATGATGGTTCGTTGGTTCAAACAGGCTCTGCTCTGCACGTGTGAAAAAGTCTCTGTTAAGCGTGGGAAGGAACCATTTCAAAGGGTGGATCAATTACATTAATTGATGAATCCATGTTAGCCTGATAACTAACAGGAATCATTTTCTAGTTACCATCGCCCACATTGCTGACAGAGGCGCAAAATAATCCTGATAGGACCCAAATAATAGTCAGCTGGATGGCCTCCTCTGAACTTTCGCCTCAGTATCCAAAACCACTGGATAACATGAATTAAAGGAAAGTGTGTTGATGCAGGAGAACAAGTACAGCAAATTCCATTCCAACCTTTAAAATAGAAAACAAGTTCTAATTGAGGGAGTCCAAACCAGGGTCTGTACAATAATACTCACCGCGGCCTCAACTTCCCTGAAAAAGCAGCGTGATCTAAGGATCTAACGGAACCTGTAAAAAGGGCACGCTCGCTTTACTGTCAGCATTTAGACTCAGGGTAAAAACAAGGTCTAGAGTGTGCCCTCTGGTGTGTGGGGGGCCAGAAACATGCTGGGTAAAGCTGAAGGAGTCCATAAGGCTGGAGAAATTCATGGCAAAGTGATCAGAGGGATCATCAACATGGATGTTAAAATCACCAACAGTCGCCAGTCTGGACAGCTTCACAGTGGAGGATAGAACGTCACTAAACTCCTGAAGGAAAGAACTGTTTGGACCAGGTGGACGATAGACCACAGCACAGTAGAACGGGTCCTTACGCCCGACTTTAATCAGCTGCAGTTCAAAGGAAGCAAAGTGACCAGAGGTTGTAGAGCTACATGGAAGATGGTCTCTGAAAACAACCGCTAGGCCTCCACCACGACCAGAACCCCGGGGCTGGCTAAGAAATTATAGGCCATTTTTTCAAAAGTTATTCCAGAGGCTCCTATTGCTTTTTTCACCTGGTCCATCATGTTATTGCATGTGTGTTTGTACATTTTACACTGAGAACACTTTTTTATGAGCTCATAAAAAATCAAAAGGAGCATACATTTAGAAAAATGAAAATGTCAGAAGGAACCATAAACGCTGCAAGTTAAGATGCGCATTTCATCTACGCATCTCATTTCTGCGCGGAATGTGCATGCGTCAAGCAAAAACCAAGCGTAAGAGTTTTTAACCCATGCCACACATCACACCTGTTTCCCCACCTGCCTATTGAGGTAGCAGACCTTTTAATTCTCTCTAAGTGCTCCTGCAAGAGCTTCTTCCAAACCATCTAACAGTTAAATAATAATCTTCAACAATCTGACCTTGTCACAGAGTCAAATACCGACAAAGGTAATGCTTTTATTAATGCTGTAGTGCCGCTCACCTGTGAGCCCGTCCTCTTTTTGCTCAGACAAAGCTTCCTCTCCAGTGACTCTGCGAGCTCTGGGATGGTAGCGATGCGGTTCTCTGGGATGGCCGTCTTAGGGCGGTTCTCCTCTGAGGAGAGATGGTGGCCTCTCTGGTGGGGCCTGGCCTCCCCTTTTTCCAATCTTGGTGCCACTGTTGCTGTGTGAATCCTGTTTAACTTCATGGCATCTAACTGTGTCTGTGAATCACACAGAGAACCGCAGTTCCCATAAGCAACTCAAACACCAGTTTAGATTAAACTAACGTTTGTCACATTATTTTATTTCTGTTTTAGATGAAAATGTCCAGAGCTGCTGTTAGAAGATTAAAGACAAGTGGTCTTTTTTCTGTTAATAGGATTAATCACTCAGACTCATGTTCTTATTTTAGTACAGCGTTGATCTAATTATAGTTTTCTTTCTGACTCAGACCTGCTGGTCCATTAATGGCGTAATGTGTTTGGTCTTTGTTCCAAAGCAGTTATGACAAAGTACATTGAACACGCTTCTTTTGGCTTCTGGTCCACCCTTTAACCACGTATTGCTGATCTGTGCAGGGATGTTATTCTGGAAGATCTTGAGAACAAGATTTGTCATTGCTTAAAGGGATTTGATTGGCCATTTTAAAATAAGTTTTTGGGTAAAGTAGGTAAATAAATGTCACTGGAGCTGATTGCTAACCCTAACCCTAACCCTAACCCATTGACCATCAAAATAAACAACATTTGGATTCTTCAGGACAAATTCTTCAAAAAGCTCCAAGGATATAACAGCAACAGGGGCCTGCAGTGGCTCAGGAGGCTGCAAGAATCTCTTAAAGTTTCTGATGAGATCCTTTTTTAATGTGAAATGTTATTCGGTGAAACTGTTTAAATACTGATGTTTGAGAGAACAGAATCATGGAGGCTGTTTAAACAAGGGCTCACAGTGCGTGACCTTCAGATGTCCTTTGTGAAAGAGCTGTGGGTCTGGCTGCGGTCCGTAGCGGTGTCTGGTTAGATCACACCGCCTGGCTGCTGCTGTACCTGACATGTTTTTCCAGCCATGGTTGCATTTGCAGGTCTGTTCTCTCCCACCTCTCCCTCTTTTCAATGGGAGCATTAATGCTAGCACCAGCTTTTTGTTCTTTTGGGTTCATGTTTTTGACGAGATTCTGGCTTGACTTGTAAAATCTATTTCTCCAAACGGGTAAGATAATAATTATTTATACGTTTTACACAGTGAAACACTTAAATGGCAGCTATATTTCATTGGTTTGAACCACGTGTGAGCACATAAGAATAATATTTACTATAAAAATCTACATCCAGTTAAAGATATTTCACAATGCCCATTAAATGACCCATGAATGTGTAAACAGAAAAAAGTTATATTACATGTAGGATCTAGGAATTAAAAGCTTGGCAGTGATGCACGCTCTTCTTTTTGGGAAATTTGATTCATTTGATCAGATATCTACATTTTTAACAGAACTGAGACAAAGACAGGACTCCGTACATGTTTGGAAATTATTTAAAACATGTAAAAGGAGGTAAAGTTCATTTTTTAATGTGTGAGAAAGTTTTAACTGTAATCATTCGTGAAATATTTCCTACATAAACAGTCCCCATGCATTGAATGAAAGCATTGCGAGATCTAAGGTTGTTACAAAGCGATAAAGATATAAAAGAAGAAGAAACTCTCAGGAGCTGGTGAAGCCCCTCAACCCAGAGCTGGAAAAGGGTTTGATGATCAAGACTTTTTCAAATGTAAATAAGGCAAAACGATCCAGTTCACTTCAGTGATTCATCAGTAAGTTGTGTCTTCAGATGGTAAAAAGCTGATAAAGTTAAATTCCCTGCATGAGTGTGTTGTCACTCTGGTGCAACAAATCAACGCCATGGAAGAATCGCACACTTACGCGGAGTATTTCACTTGTGGGAAATGTGTGACCAGTGTTGCTAAGGAAAGTCAGCGCAGACCCTAAGAAAAATTGTCTTTGAACAAATTTTAGTATAAAGCTTATACTAAGCAGGGGAGTGCAGTTGAATTCCTCATGAATGGTGTCACATTTTGGAGGGAAAGTTGAGTGAAATAAGCCACATCTGCAATGAAAGAGTCCATTTCTGAGAGATGGATCAAAGTGTGGTGGACACAGAGAGTGTTGCGCTGATAAGCAGCAACAGCTTTTGGTGGAGGTGGTGTGATGATGTGTGGCTACATCTCCTTCGACGACGCCATTACAGACAGCCTCATCGCACAGAGATAACCAGGATGACGTTCAGCACCCAGAGGGTCCAACATAACCACGTGTCGGCGAATTTGGTCTTGTTTTTTGGTTGAGATGTTTAGCCAAGAAGTTGTTACAAATGCTTTTATCATGTCTAGACTAGCTTAGGTGTGTTCTTGCTGTGTCTTTCTAATTCCATGCTTTCCTTCTTTTTAAACACAGAAACAGTTTTGTTTACCTGTTTGTAGCTACAGTTTCGCCGACGGCTGCCGGCTTCTTCAGGCTGACGCTGATGGTGGCGTCACTTCCTTCTCCGTTTATACGCGGGCAGCAGATGACGTTGTCGCCCTCTACTGCCCGCTCTCCCCTCTCCGACGATGCAGTCCCATGCGTGGTCCAGCGTGTAAACTCCGTCGTCCCTGTTCATGGTCCCACATCCACGTCTCCTTATCTCGATTGCTTCCTTGATCCATCTTTTGTATTTTTGTTGTTCGGTGGTTATGATCCGTGTGTTGTCCCAGTCCATTATATGGTTTTCTCTTAAGCAATGATCTGTTACGGCTGACTTTTTTATTGTACTTTCTGCTTCTTCTTTTGCTGCTCTTGTGTGTTTACGATTTGCCTCTTTCTCGCACTCCTTTCTGTGTTCTATTGTTCGTGTATTGAGTTGGCGTCCGGGTTCTCCTATGTGTGTTTTATTGCATATTTTGCATGGGATTTCGTAGATGACTCCACATTTAAGTCCAGCTGATATTTTGTCTTTTGGGTGTACTAGTCTGTTTCTAACTGTTGTGTATGGCTTTGTTGGTGTGTTTATGTTGTGTTTTTTCATTGTTGCTCTTATTTTTTCCATTATGCCTCTGATGTATGGTAGGGTTATCACTGGTTCTGGTTCTTGTCTTTCTGGGTTTCTGGTTCTTTTTTGGGTTGTTCTTTTCTTTCTGTTTTTGTTTGTTGTTTTCCTTTGTTTATCGCCCACGTCGGGTATCTGCAGGTCTTTAAAGCGTGTTGTATGTGTTTGTCTTCTTGTTTACGGTCTCTCTCTTCTGTTATTATGTTTGCTCGGTGATATAATGTTCTGATTACTGACATTTTGTGTATGGTGGGGTGTTCTGATGTCCATAATAGCCCGCGGATAAACGGAGAAGGAAGTGACGCCACCATCAGCGTCAGCCTGAAGAAGCCGGCAGCCGTCGACGAAACTGTAGCTACAAAACAGGTAAACAAAACTGTTTCTGTGTTTAAAAAGAACGAAAGCATGGAATGTCTAGACTAGACTACTATAATTCCCTGTGTCCATGCTTAACTCAGTTCTCACTGTCCAGAGTATGAAAACAGGAGCATGTTATTCTGGTCCTGGCTGCCTTGGACTGGTCACCAGTGAAATATTGCATTCTGGTCTAAATCTTGTCTTTGATTTTAACTCTGTCAGGATCAGCACCACCATTTTTAGCTTCACTCCAAAATCTCTACGCTTGATTCAGAGGACCTGGCTCCTCAGCCAAAACACACGTCTAGGGCTGATCAGTCATAGGTCCTCAGCTCTGGAACCAACTTCCATCAGAGATTTAAACAGTTCACGTTTCTGGTCATTTTTAATGCAGAACTAAAGCTTTATTTTCGCTTTGGTCTTATTTTAATTATTTTACTGTTATTTCTAGTGTTACAGAGTGTATGTGTCTTTGCATTATGTACAGCACCCTGGGCCTCTATGACTGGGGGCTGTAAGGGGTTTCAAAATAAATTCAGTTCCAACAATTGAACCGTGTTTGCTGTCTTGTCTTTTTTGTTGAATTAATAAATAGGTTTGTTTCAGTAGACTTCACTTATTCAATCCAATAAATGACACCAAATGAGATTCGATATCAGAATCGGATGTTTGTCATCAGCAAAGATTTGACAAGGTTTTCATTGGAAACAAACCCACATACTCTGAAATGAAGGATCAAACACAAATCTCGTTAGGTTGTGTCTTAGATTCAGGTGCTCCATGTTGGAGTATTTGCAGATGCTTACATCGAGGTGTTTGTATTCGCAGGTTAGCATCAGTTCAGAATGCCATTTATGCCAAAAAAGAAAAAAAACGTTTTCCCATTTTTATATAAGTAGATAAAGGAATCAAAACAAAATGTGTGGATTGATGAAATTCCAGATGGCATTACCACAGTTGGGAGTGATGCTCTCCTATCAATGTGCTGTTTGGATGACCTCCTGAAGCTGCGCGTTCTCTCCTTGGAATGTCCGCCGTCTGCTCCATGACCCCAGTAGCTACTCATCCACTTGGTAAAGTTGCCATCGTCGTCCTCATCGTTGTCCATGCCGATGGCAGGCAGCAGTCTCAGAGACATGATGGAGCTGTGCAGCGAGTTCCAGCAGAGCAGATTTAAATGTGATTCCAGCTCACTGGTGCAGAAAAACAACACTCGGCTGACCCACTGAGCCTCAAAATGCTCCGATACACACAACTGTCCCACCAGGAAAAGGTAACTTACTTCAGTCAGGATGTCTCTGGAGCCTCCTGTGGTGTTGTTTTTGTTCTGCTATTCCTGGATAACCTAAAAATAAACAGCTGAGCTTTGATCAAGTCTTAAACCGAATGAATCCTGTTGACTGTGGCTGTTCGACAGTAAAAGTGGAGGTGCTGAAAACAAACGTATTCTGGCAGAGCATAGGTGATGTGACTGTTGCTTTTAATCTTTCCATTACAGTCACAGGCCTTGGGGTGAACAACTTCAATTTTCCCATACTTTCCACTCACAGACTCCATCAAACTTGTCAATAATTATGGAGTGCCTGCCACTCTGTTCACCACAGCACTTGTGGGATGGCCAACAGACGGGGAGGGAATCATTTCACAAAAAAACAAGTTATAAATCTGTGTTTATAATTTTTCATTTAAAATGTTTATAGAAAGGATAATTAAACATGAAAATGTGTCAAACAGCTCAAGAGACATTATCCACACCACATACTGGACACAGTAAAAGGGCAATGTAGAAAATATGTTCTCATGACAAGACAAAACGCAGCCGTTACGATGTAAATGTTTGTTTTTTTACTTTGACTTTTGTAAATGAAATGTACTGACTGATGAAATAGAAGTGGAACTTTTTGGAAGGGGCGTGTCCCGTCCTAAAACATCTGGTGTAAAACTAAGTCTGTATATCAGAAAATCTAACAGTCAGACGTGGTGCTGATAGTGTGATGGGCTTGGGTTACTAAAGGTCAGACATGGTGCTGGTAGTGTGATGTCTCTGAGTTACTAAAGGTCAGACATGGTGGTGGTAGTGCGATGGTCTGGGGTAATTAAAGTCTGACATGGTGCTGGTAGTGTGATGTCTCTGAGTTACTAAAGGTCAGACATGGTGGTGGTAGTGCGATGGTCTGGGGTAATTAAAGTCTGACATGGTGCTGGTAGTGTGATGTCTCTGAGTTACTAAAGGTCAGACATGGTGGTGGTAGTGCGATGGTCTGGGGTAATTAAAGTCTGACATGGTGCTGGTAGTGTGATGTCTCTGAGTTACTAAAGGTCAGACATGGTGGTGGTAGTGCGATGGTCTGGGGTAATTAAAGGTCAGACATGGTGGTGGTAGTGTGATAGTCTGGGGTTTCTTTGCTATTTCAGGACCTGAAGGGAGGGCTGAAATTCTCTACCAATGCCTGGTCCACTTGTTTCCCTCTGTCAATGCAATCATAATTTATTATCCACCTTTTATATTTATTATTTTGTCTGAAGTTAAAACTTATTAAATGTGTGTGTTCGTATGATCCATTATTCAATACTGCATTTCAGGCCTTCATAACACAAAAACAATTGGGATGATGATACTTTAACTCATAATGCTACAATTCAGTTTTGGTTATTAAAAGCAGGTTTTTGCATTGATGAAGCCAAGTGAAGATGTGTTTTTGTTCCTCCTGCAAACACTCCTCCTTAGAGTGTACAAATGTTGGGGACTTTTGTCGCTTTGGCTTATTCTAATGCAGTGATTTAAATGTCAGTGATGCACTGGTGCTATCAGCACACACGTGTGAATGGCCTCCATTAAGGGTTCTGATGCAATCCCAGACGTCACATGTTCATATTCAACCAGACAGTGTGAACTGTCTGATAACTATCTGGGTTGCTCATTTGGTTCAGACCACAGCACACCCCTCCAAAACTATATTAAAAAGACACATAAAGCAAAATCAAACAACAACAAAGGAAGAAAATTCTGAGTAAAAGTCAGAAAATGGTTGCTTTTTATTCCACTTTAAATCCACTACATCCATTTAAAATATCAACAAGCTGATAGAGATGAATAGAATTTGGTTAAAATTATTAACATATTAAGACACTATAATCAAAAGTGAAGAATTAAAAAATGGTCACCCTCTAGTGGATTTTGCACTTTGAGATTTTTGTCCTGCTCTAAGTAAGCTAATGAAAAATGTTCAGACTCCAATAGGAGGGTTAACAACAGGTGACTTTTCTGAATTCCATCCCATCAATTTTCCTCCGCTTATCCAGGGTCGGCTCGTGGGGGCAGCAGCCTAAGTCAAGAAGCCCAGACTTCCCTCTCCCCAGGCACTTGGGCCAGCTCTTCCGGGGGAATTCCAAGATCTTACCAAGTGTGGGACATAGTCCCTCCAACGTGTCCTGGGTCTCCCTTGAGGTCTCCTTCTGGTTGGACGTGCCTGGAAAACCTCATCAGGGAGGCGTCCAGGAGGCATCCTGACTAGATGCCTGAGCCACATCAACTGGCTCATCTCAATGTGAAGAAGCAGCAGGTCTACTCTGAGCCCCTCCCGGATGATCAAGCGTCTCACTCTATTTCTGAGGGAGAGCCCAGCCACACTGCGGAGAAAACTCATTTGGCCGCTTGTACCCACAATCTCCTTCTTTCAGTCCCTACCCAAAGCTCGTGACCATAGGTGAGGGTAGCAATGTAGATGGACCGGTAAATCAAGAGCTTCATCTTCCGGCTCAGCTCTCTCTCTCTTCACCACGACAGACCGGTACAACGGCCACAGTACTGCAGATGCAGCACCAATCCACCTATCGATCTCGCGCTCCATCATTTCCTCGCTCGTGAACAAGACCCTGAGTTACTTAGACTCCTCCACTTGGGACAGGACCTCGTCCCTGACCCGGAGAAGGCACTCTACCCTTTTACGGTTCAAGACCATGGTCTCTGATTCTCAACCCAGCTGCTTCCCACTCGGCTGACAACCGCTCCAGTGAGAGCTTCTCTGAATTTTGAGGAAAAAAAATTAGGATCAGCTGTAATTAGTAATTTGCAGAAATGTGACCAAGTTACTGCTTTGCAAGTCACAAGTCTTTCCAGTTATGTCTCGAGTCAAGTCCAAGTCAAAGACAACCAAGTCCAAGTCGAGTCCAAAGTCAATGATCTGGAAGTCCAAGTCAAGTCCAAGTCCTTAACTTTGAATTTTCAAGTCATAATCAAGTCATCTGTCCAACATCAATTTAATGATGATGATAATAAACAAATTCCAGAAATAAAGCTTCTTAACTTTTCATTTATTTGCTCAACAAGCAGGAAGTGCAGCTGAAACTGATTATAAACAAGGTGCTGCTGCAGTTAGCAGAACAAGAGCTAACCGAGAACAAAGATGATTTATGATTTTTGTCCATGTCGGGCCACTTTTGTGTTAAAATATCAAATCTGCTCAAGTCATCATCAAGTCAACAGATGCAAGTCGATTCAAGACGCAAGTCATTGGCGTGCAAGTCAGAGTCAAGTCATAAGTGTAGATTCTATCAAGTCAAGTCAGAAGTTATTAAAATAAAGACTTGAGTCTGACTCGAGTCCAAGTCATGTGACTCGAGTCCACACCTCTGGTACTGGGTATGTAGGGATGTGTCTGCTCAGTGACAAAAATAAAATAAGGTATAAACGTTATCAGAGAATTAATGCTGGAAATGTGACTTTCAGGGAAGTTTAGTTCCACCTGTCACTATCTGGCCAAGTCAATTTAGGGAAACATTGACAAAAGATTCTCAAAAGTTAAAGTCCCATTAGTCATCATCACACTGGTGAAATTCATCTTGACCCATCCCTGTTGAGAGCGGCAAGCTGCAGCAGTGGCTGCGTTCAGGAACTATTTGGTGGTTTAACCCACCAATCCACCCCCTTAAAGCTGGGTGTCAAGCAGGTGGCATTGAGTCCCGTTTGGTACGATCCATCCAGGACTTGAACCCCAATCTCCCAATCCCAGGGCGGACACTCCTGGCAGCTTTCAGCCTAGTGAGAATCAGGGCAAAAACAGGGAATGTGTACCCTTCAGGAATGCAGGGGCAGGACAAACAGACATGGGAAGGGAGCAGTATGGTCATGGGCCTCTCAGTGCAGAGGAAGATGCTCCAAATTAAAACCAGTTTTAACCGGACAGATAAGGGTGTGGCTAGAGAAAAACGTAACCAGAGAGCTGGTGCAGTGTCTCCAGACTCTGGCTTTTCACTTTCACGAGTCTCCAGGTATACTTGCGGGTAAAATTGTTCATGTACTGCTTTTAAAATCAGATATTTTAAACGGCTTTAACTATAATTTGTCTTGGTTTTCCTTCAACGGACTTGGCGGAATCAAGAGAGAGATCCCAACAGTCGTAGTTCCAAATAATTACACAGGTAGCAATTAGAAAACAGTCTATAAACATCGATGGGACAACAAATGTGACTTTTCAGGAAACTTTTAGGGAACATTTCAGCTTTAATTGCCTAAAGTAAAATTTAGGGAACATTGCTAGAAAATTTCCTAAAGATCATAAATTATGTAAACATTAGAGAATGTTCCATAAACATTACAGAATATTAATGAATATACTGGTACACAATTTCCAGGAACTAGAAGTGAGCCACACCTGATGGCAGGTGTTGGAATCTTATTTCCGGATATTTGGACTTCTCACCATGGATTGGCTAATCAAAACACAACTTTACCACGGACTCTGTTTAAGCTGACTGATGATTTATCTCCATAAATAACTTTAGCTGGAAGAAGTTCTGCCATGTGGTGGAATTTATTTATTTATTTTTTTTTGTGTTTTTTTTTGAAGGCATTGTAACTGTTTTGTTGTTTAAATTTTGATGATGAGGATGTAAACCTGAGGGGGTAGGGCTAAATAAGTATACACTTCTCCCTACTCCTTTTCAAACAATTGCGTGGAATGATTTTATGAAATGTTGGTGAATGTATATGTTTGAAATAAAGTGAACTGAACTGAATTGCTAATGCTAATGGTTAGCTTCTACTAGCTGAGGCATTCTCTGTGGTTTGCTGGATGCTAAACCAACAGCCCTCCCCATCACGAGTCCAGTTGGGTGAGTCCATGAATGTTAGTGACAGTGTGATGTAGATCTGTCACTTTTCAAGTCCTAGAGTTTCACCGTCTATAACAGAATAGAAGACTTTATTGATCCCACAATGGGGAAATTCACTTGTTACAGCAGCACAAACTAGAGAATCATGTGATGAAAAATATTAACAAAGGCACATGTATGTACACATGGGCAGTAAGCTAGTTTTGTAACCTTTGACCACTAAAAACCACAAATACAAAATGAAGAACGTGGGTTCCAGACCTAAGCAGCATACCGTAAGGACAGACGTATGTAAATTCGGTATTGCACAGGTATTGAACACACACTGAATATTGCATTGGTGTTATGTACCAGGATAAGGCCAGTACAGCTTAAACTGAGGAGTTATACACTTTTACTGCAGAGGGGATGAATGCTCTACGGTAGCATTGTTTTACATCTGGGATGTCAGTCTGCCTCTGAAGGAACTGTTCATGGTCTCCATAGTGGGATGCAGCGGGTGGGAGGGGATTTTTAGTCTTCCCCAAAATGCTCCTTTCACACATCTCCTCAACTGAATCTAGTGGGCAGCCCAGAACCGAGCTAGCTTTCCTGTCGTGGTCAGAGCTAGCTGCACCCCAACAGAGTGAATAACAACAGAGTAATAAAGGATTTTAGCGTTTAGTCTATTATCTATCTGAAGCTAATGCAGGATATCGGTGCTGAATGAGACTTTTTTCATTATCAGTCTGCATGGCAAGCTCAGAGAAGCAGATTATGATCAGAAATGGGTTTCTAAAAATAGCTTTTCAGTGTTCCACGCCTTTAATATTATCTTGGTTGCAAATAATTAGTTTTTACAGTGTCTCACAAATGTGTTTATTGTTCTAATTGCATAATTCTGATTTACGACACAGACTATATGATAATGAAACGTCATCTCCCAGCAGTCAGCCATGCAAACACAGCCACATTTACTCTACGTTAGTGCTCGTCAGTCATCACAAAAGCTGGTTGGACATAAAATCATCACGATGCAGGTTTTCCAGAAAAACATTTTCCTTCTAGTATTTTGCTACTGATGCAGTCAGCTGATCAATGTCTAACGCACTGTGACCCAGCAGAAATGATCAGAACCCGCCTCCAGTAAATCAACAGAACGAGTGTTTAATTACTGGTGTTTTTTCTGCTTGTATAAACCAACTACAGTTAAGATGTTTGGCTAGTCAAAGATTACTAAATGCATTTACGCAGCACTATCTGAGAGGATGCAGGAAGTGTATGATGTTGACTTGTCGTTGTTTGGAGAAGCAGGACTCCAGCCAGGCCTTCTGCACAGGAACAGCCTCGGTGTACTGACGCACCAGATCCTGAAGCTCCTGGCTCACAGATAATTAATGAAACTTACTATTTGTCACTAACGCAGTTAAAGTTGCTCAGAGACGCACAGAATGATCCAGACCTGTTTGTGGATGTTGTTCTCCACCTCTGCGACAATGTGAGTGACCTCTGCACTCATAATGTCCTCCTCATCTCCATCATACGTACACTTCAGCTGAGGAAATCTCACATCGTTTCACCTCTGTGCTCAAGTTCAACGTCTCCTTATCACACTTGCACAAACTACAGCAGGTAATAATAACGCGTCAAAAAAGAATTTAAACAATCAGGTGGGAACAAATAAATTACTTGGTGTGTGTGTGTGTGTGTGTGTGTGTGTGTGTGTGTGTGTGTGTGTGTGCGTGCGTGCGTGCGTGCGTGCGTGTGTGTGTGTGTCTGCTCTATCTTCTCCATCCCCAGTGAGTCGTGGAGGATGGCTGCTTGTACTGAGCCAGGATTCTCTGGAGGTTTCTTCCTGTTAAAAGGGAGTTTTCCTCTCCACAGTCGCTACATGCTTGCTTAGTATGAGGATTGCAGTAAAGACTCTGGCACTAGTCAGTGACTTGATGCAATTTGCTGGGTTCCTTATATAGGAAACATTATTTCTGATTGGCTTAATGACCTGACCTGTGTTGGAATGTTTATTATGGGAAGTGCCTTGAGACGACTCGTGTCGTGATTTGGCGCTTTATAAATAAACTTGGATTGAACTGAATAAAACTCTGAAAGGATATGTGATGAGGTAGCGAGACAGCCTCTTTCGTTCCGATGCAGGAATGTTGTAGAAAAAAACATGAACTCCCTTCATGAAACTAGGGAGCGCTGCAGAGCCAGAGCTGTGGGACGGAGCCGAGGGTCCCGGGACTTGTGTCTCATCACCGGACCTGTTGGAGTCTTCTCCTCTCGTGCCAGTAACCATCTGTGGTGTGCTCCTGGCAGCTCTGTTGTGATAGTAGCTGCCAGTTAGGTTAAGAAATAATGCCTCCGACAGACATGGCTGCTCAGAAAGGACCTGGAACGTTAAAGGATACATAAACGTGGGGATGCCTCTGGAAGCGAGGTGTTTCCTGATCAGCCTCTCGGTGCCGTACCAGTTGAAACCTTTGGTGGACTGGCCGATACGAGGAAGATGAACACTGGCTATAGACAGATAAAGGTCAAACACTCATGTTAGTTCACCATTTCAACAGAGACCATGGTGGCTTGTACCCTTGCTTCTCCTGGCTGCGATGTAAATCTTCTTTAGTCCTTCATCCAGAGCACTGAGGAGGATGCCCGACAGGTTGTTGGACTTGTCTCGCTGCTGAGCCACTATCAGTGCTAACTGAGGTGAAAGGTGAAAGCAGGTTAATGCACCATCTAATCATTTTCCCAGTGTTCTGTTTGCTGTCACAGCCTTGCAGTTCTGCAGTCAGCCCTAAACCCAAAAGTACCCAGAACCTACTTGATCTTGGCCGTCCAGTCTGGACTGTTTGTCATCGATGGGGAACAGCAGCACATTTCCAAGATCCAAATCTGAAACAAAAGTGATGACTTTAAAAGGTTAACCTCAACCAGACTCCACACGCAGTCACTTATTGTTCATTTTCTCCATCGTCGTGGTTAATGGTACCTTTCATCTTCCCTGCCAGCTCATACTGCTTCCGTGGTTCATCTGATCTCACCTCCAGTGCTGTAAATAACCCTCCTCTTCCCCACCGACCCGAGTCATCTGAACAAAAGTTACGTCACTTGTAAACGCACGATGCAGTGGCAGATCTAAGTTCTGCGTTTATTTGTGTATCACAAAAAGTGGCCTGTTGCCATGGTTACAGAACATACCAACACAGTGGATAATGATAGCATCTCCCTTGGAAGCATGTGGATGAGTCACATCCCCCATAACATAGTGGATATCTGTGGCGTTAGAGTCTGTGGAGCACATGCTGCTGGCATCGTCCTCCTCTTCATCACTGTCCACACACTGTAGGCAGAGGGACCGGTAGCCACAGGAAGCCCACCACGCCATTCTGCATCACAAGCAAAAGTTGTTCAAAACATCTGAACGGACACGGGTAAACAATTAAAGAGGTACTTTACTCTTATTCTGAATACGTTTGCAGTGGCCTCTAGTAGGAAGGGCCACTGCGAGTCATACTCGAGGGGGAACAAAGCTCCGATGCATCTGCTTCAGCTGGAGGACAAAGAAGCTTCAGACAGCAGGATTTGGACATCTCCCCTCCGACTGGCTAACAGCAACACGACTTTACCACCGACTCCAGTTGCTCTGCCCCGTTAATGATTTATCTCCACAAATAACACGAGCCTGGAGGAGTTCTGCTGTGTGGTAGATGTGCTAATGCTAATGGATAGCTTCTGCTAGCTGAGACGTTCTCTGCTGTTTCCTGGAGGCTAAACCAACAACAGCCCCCCCCCGTCGTGAGTCCAGATGGGTGAGTCCATGAATGTCAGTGACAGGGTGACGTAGATCTGTCAGGATTTTCTATCCTAGAGTTTCACCGTCTGTTTTCTATCAGAAGCTAATGCAGGAGATAGGTGTAGGAGACTATCTTCTATCAGAAGCTACTGCAGGAGATAGGTGTAGGAGACTATCTTCTATCAGAAGCTACTGCAGGAGATAGGTGTAGGAGACTATCTTCTATCAGAAGCTACTGCAGGAGATAGGTGTAGGAGACTATCTTCTATCAGAAGCTACTGCAGGAGATAGGTGTAGGAGACTATCTTCTATCAGAAGCTACTGCAGGAGATAGGTGTAGGAGACTATCTTCTATCAGAAGCTACTGCAGGAGATAGGTGTAGGAGACTATCTTCTATCAGAAGCTACTGCAGGAGATAGGTGTAGGAGACTATCTTCTATCAGAAGCTAATGCAGGAGATAGGTGTAGGAGACTATTTTCATGTTCAGCCAACATGAAAAACTCAGAGTGACCCATTATAATAAGAAATAATCATTAAAAATGGTTTTTCAGTGAAGTACCATTTAAAAAAGTACTGCGGGAATTTCCTAATGTTGTGATTTTTAGTACATTCGATAATAAACCCTTCTGATTAAGATAAATGTGGGTTAGTCAAAAAATCTTTACTTCTTCTGTTGCTTCTTCTCCTGCTGCTGCTTCTTGATGTCCTCCTGCATTTTGGCTTTCTTGGCTGCGGTCTCTTCCCTCCTTTTTCGCCTGAGCTCCAGCTCTTCCTCGGTTAGCGGTTTCCTCTTCCTCACAGGAATCATGAGTGCTACTGAAAGGGACGCCTGAACACAGACAACATGGTTTTTAATTCATTTAACATTATTATAATTCAGCTGATAATGACACCTGCTGTTTCATGTCAGGTGTCATTACCAGCGGGGATGACGCACACCTTCATGTGTTTGCTGAAGTAATCATGAAGCGATTTAGCATCATTGTTAGGCATCACTAAAGTCACAAGAAAGGTAACACTACAGCCTGACTTGTCTATTTCTACTTTTTCCATAACCAAAATACAGAAATGCATGCGTCCAGAAATGGTCTCACCTACATGACCGACACGATGTCCGGTCATCTACTGACCTCATCCCACTGTCTGAGTGGAGTTTCTATCCTGTCTTCTAAAACCCAGGGGCCTCATTTATCAAGCTTGCTTACGCACAAAACGGGGTCGGAAACTTTCCACGCAAACTTTGGGATTTATGAAAGAAAACTGGAAAAATGTGCGCAACTTTAAGTTGACTAAGGACCTGGCTTACACACATGCTGGACATGGAGAGCACCTGCAGATCTGCTGCTGAGAAGATACAGTTATGAAATCCTGCAGCATTATCACTTGTACCGCTTCGTTTTCACACACTGCGGTTGTGATCGAAATGCTGCAACAAGCCGGCTTATGTACATGCATGAGGTCCACAAGGCACTTTGCATTGACTATTTATGGCAGTAAGTGGGCGTGGTGAGGGCGGGATGTGACTAAAATGCAGCTGAGAAACATTCTCATAAGTCTCTGATTTATGAAGCGGAGGTTGCGTGCAGCTGTGCGTCCTCCATGTTTGATAGATCACACACCTGCTTGGTGTAAGAACATGTTTTTGCTGAGCGTAAGTACGGTTTTAGTAAGGATTCTGCGCCATGTTTGATAAATGAGACCCCAGAAGATTCTGCAGCCCTTGTTGACATTTCAGGGGGAACAAGATGTCAGCCTATGTTCCCAAACAGAGCCTTTTGATAAGAGCGCAGGACTGCACACTCTTATGAAGGAAGAACTTTTACAACTCATAAGTTAAATAATTATTAAATAATGAAATGGTCTAATGAACAAATGTTATATGAATACTCAGGGTCTCCCCCAGCGCTTTATAAGCCCGACGGCCCGCCAGGCTAAGCGTCATGCCCCGCCCCCCTCCCCGACCCCTACCGTTTCCGCTGACACGAACGGCGCAGCGAAACTAGAGCCCTCCATCAGCTGATACTGGTGAGAAACCCCCCCCCCCCCCCCCCCCCCCGCTCTCACGGAGGAGCGCTGCGGGACGGAGCACGCAACCCCCCCCCTCCTGACGGCCGAAGCCGCCAGGCTTAAGTTTCTGGGGCAAACCCTGAATACTGATATTAATGTTTGAATAATCTGTGCTTAAATCACTGAAGTGACATGAACATTATTATTCCACTGAAAGACCAACAAGGATGAAATGAAATATACGACCAACATATTAAATCAGCTTACTGACGGGACAAGACACACTCGCCATATCTCAACGTGACTGCACACAGATCTTCATGTCTGAGGGAGGCGTGTGTCTGGGTCTGTTGGCAAAACCCCTTCTCAGGGCAGGTTCTGGTTTATCAGTAAACCGTGACCTCTGACTGGCCATCGGAGGGAAACTCTGCTCCCATCGCATCTTTGACAAGCGGTCAAAACCTGTTGCACGCTGCAGCTGACCACAAACGGTTCCTTCAGAATAAAGCTGAACCAACTTCAACTCCTTAAGAGTTATTCCTAAGACGTAAATAACAGCAGTCGTGACCTGGAGACATCTCGAGACCGCTCTAGTCGGCACTGCCGTTTCTTCTACGGACTTCGGTACCTCTGGGGTCCCCGGACCTCAACACATTCCGGATCTACCACGGGGGTCTTCGAGGGTACGTAGACCCGACAGACTGTGTCTGATGTGGTTTTAGAAACCATCACTATAGTTTATAGCAGACCAGTTCACTCCCACTCAGAACTCAGCACTTCAGAGACGAGGGTTCTGATGACATCACAGCTCTTAGATCCATTCTTCACATCAAGTGTCCGAGTTGTCGTGTTTTAATTGTTTAGAAGATAAATTTCTTCCTCTTTATAAACTTGACTCTCTTCTTGAATTCATACGAAGTGTCTTACAATCCCTGAATAAACAAAGAGTTATAAATCTTCTGGTTAAACATTAAAGACCAATCAGACTGGATTTCCATATTTATATGGAAATTCACATCATGTTGGTCAAAGTGTAGGGTTCTATATCGAGCCTTAAAAGCACCCAAATCCATACGTGTGCTACACTGGCGAAACGTTACAGATGGAAAACACATGAATCGTTTTGTATTGATATTGTCGACCACCCAGCAATAAAAGTTAAAGTAAGAACAGCTCAGTTTCTTTAATTAGCATTTTGCTAACTGCCGTGCTTCATCACGGGAGGGTTCAGGTGTTTCAGCGCTGTGCTGGTGGGTGTTGACATAAACATCTGACAGGTTTCCACATTTTCCAGATGTTTTTGTCCATTAAGCACGAGCCTTTGATGGAACTCTTACTGATACGAGTTGGACTTTGTGGAGTTTCCAGGAAATATCTCATGAACCAATGGATAGACTAATACAATGTCCCTGCTTGACACTCGGCATTACGGGTTGGACTGGGGGGTTAAACCACCAAATGGTTCCCGAGCGCAGCCGTGTCTGCAGCTCACCGCTCCCCCAGGGGATGGGTCAAATCCAGAGAACAAATGTCGCACACACACCAGAGTGTGTGACGACTGGTGGGACTTTAACTTAAACAACAAAAAGGTTTAGAACTGGTAGTAGCTGAGAGGCCTTAGCTTAAAGGTTTGAGTTTAGAACGTTCTAGTTTAAACACAGCCTGGACTTGCACTACAATAGCACTTATAACTACTTTTCATTTATTATGAATAGATTTTTTCACCACTAGTCACACTTTATCTGTAACTTCCTTTCCCAATAGTATTTTAATGAAGTCATTTGTTTTCGGACACCTTTGATGGTCCTCCTGCATGCTCACATCATTCCCTTCCCTTGCTTGAAAAATTGTTCCAAAATGAAAGTTGAACCCACATCTTTTTTATGTGAATTCAATGCCGTTCGGCGAGTCTCAAATAAAAATTTGGGCGTCTTACTGTAAAAATATACCATTAATGTAAAAAATAAACTCTAAACTAACTACATTCACATCCAGAATCAAACCCGGGACTTCTGCACGAGAGTCAGACATCTTACTGGGTGAGCTAAAGCACCAGCAACATTTATTGCATCTGTAACATTTATATCCTTGGTGACAGCTGAAACAACGTCAAACCAAAGAACGGTTCGGAGTGAAAATGGCTGTTTTGTTGCTAATTAGCAGGAAATATCTAGAAGAAAGTTCTACAGAAAGTAGCTAAGGGTCCTCAGAAATGTAGCTAGCTTTGTCACTAGGCGTTAGGAACAGCGACAAAGTGGCACTGCCTCTCTCTCTGCTGCTAAAGCTACGGATAGCAAATGCTACGGGCGATGCCTGAGCGTGAGCGCGCATGAAGCAGCCTGCTCGACCCGAGCATCTCTCTTTTTCTGTGATTTTACAGAAAAACAGGCAATCCCAGTAAAAATGCCAGGGCTCGTTCTACAGGACCAGGGCGTTGCAGGAGAATGTATGACGAAGACATTTATTATTTCTATACATGTTTTGGCTGTCACACTTCCATAATGCACCTTTAAGTTGTAAAACGACTGAGTAAAGTAAATATTAACTGGGACATCAGCAAAGGTGATGTATAAAGTGAGACTTACTCCAGCGTTGTGCCTCAGAGCTCGTCCTTCTGCCGTACCTCTCTGAAACTCGGCCAGCTGCTCTTCTAACAAATGCTCAAAGCTGCTTCGATCACCAGAACTCGGGTCTTTGCTGTAGTCCTTCCCCTCAAAGCAGTACATGTGGTCTAAAAGGATGAGACGACATGATGGTGAGTGAATCTAATCACCACAAGAGAAAGAGAGGCTTGTGTTTCAACCTCAGAGCACATTCAGAGGTGGTTTCTGTCCCATGCTGTTACATTTTAATGTGGATACTAAAAAGCTGCATAAAACATACCAAGTCCTTCATATTCATCCTCTTCTTCTCTAAGAGGTGATGATTCCTCTTCATCCATCCACTGACCGTCATGCGACATGCCGAGGATCTTCTCCAGTTTTACGTCCTGTACTGAGCTCTCATCTGACGACAAAAGCTTATCTATTCCAAACTTCAAGATCTCACTCAGCTGTTTGGAGAACAAGAGAGGGCTTGAGCTGAACACGGACACAGTGGAGAAGTGTGGACAGCAGGATCTGGATATTTAACTGTCACGGACCTTCAGTCCAGCTGCAGCAGACTGAGCTTGATCCAGCAAGGAGAAGCGCCCCTCTTCAATAACCGTGTTGGTGAGCTGTAGCTTGGACACAGCCCGAGAGTACATGATCTCCTCTACAGTGTCTCTTGCAAGGAGGCGGATCACTTTCACGGGTCTGTCAAAGGGATAAGAAGACCGTCAGAGTGGTTCTGTCTGGGTGAGAACCTACATCTTATAATAACCAAACAGAACATCCATGCCCTGGACGAACAAGAGCAGCGCTAACTGACTGGAGATAGCATTAAGTTTTAGTACGATAGCAATCCTGGACATGCTGAGCTTCCTGGTTAGACTCGTTTTCAGTCAATAATTAGAAAACTGAATCTTTTTTATTTTAATAGTTAAGGCAAATACAGGTTTAGAATCTAGCTCCCTGTTTGCTTTAATTCCTCTACCATGGTACAGCAGTACTATACTGTACACAGGAAGAAGTATTTCACACCTAACCAGCTAACACTCATGGCAGCAGCTTCTACAGGGCTGAAAGTCTCTGAAAGAGGAGTTAAAAGGGAGGAGCTCATCAGGGTGGAGGGCTGAAGCTTTACAACTGTTGTTGCTGCTTCTTTAGCTTGAATAATCTTCTGTACGCATCACCTGTTCTGACCAATCCGATGGCAGCGTGCCGCAGCCTGCAAGTCGTTCTGAGGGTTGAAGTCACTGTCCACGAATATAACTGTGTCTGCAGCTGTGAGGTTCAGTCCCACTCCCCCTGTAAGACACGACGTTGGGAAGCAAACTCAAGTCAGCTCTTCATCACCGTTTGTGTGATCAGGTAAAAATACAGCTTACACACACACACACACACACACACACACACACACACACACACCCACACCCACGCACACACCCACCCACGCACACACACACCCACGCACACGCACACCCACGCACACCCACACACACACACACACCCACACCCACACACACGCACACACACACACACCCACACACACACACACACACACACACACACACACACACACACACACACACACACACACACACACACACACACACACACACGTAAAGGAAGGAGAGAAAAAATGTTTCCCTAGCAGTTTCTAATCGAGTTGAGACCCCGTCGGGTTCATCGATGATCCAGCTAACGCCCTGGTGAAAAGCAACGAGCTAAAAATCCTAAACAAGACAGAATCTATCATAAAATCTACTGAATCGTTAGTTCCACTCTGCTGACTTCACTTGTTTAGATTTGCTAAATGAATGTCCCGACGTGTAAAAGCTTACGTGTGAGGGGAGGATTCTCATGCTGGGTGTGAGAACATCGCTCGACTGCACACGTGACACGGAGCATTTATAAAGTTCACAGAAAGTGAAAGCTGTGACAGGAAACACGGCTTCTGCTGCGTCGTCTCGTCCCTGTTTTCGGACTGAATAAAGGTGAAAACTGCTGATCTTGTTTATCTGGTCAGTCTATTTTCCTTTCTTCCACGAACTTAGCCACAGACACAGATCTAAAGACAGGCTCACTCCTGGGGTGCAAACACCACAGAAGTGTGAGAAATGAAACTCACTTCAGTGTGGACACGTACAATTGTCTTTAATCTGAAGGGCTGCTGATGAAACTGCTCAAAATTAATCACATTTCCATCAAAAGCAAATGAAGCTGTTTTGGTGTAACAGCAAACATCCCGGAGTTGTCGTCACCTGCTTTCGTGCTGAGTAGGAAGACAAACATATCTTTGCTGCTGAAGTTCTTCACCGCTAGATTTCGTTCTTCCCCTCGAACGGACCCATCCAGCCGCTCATAGCTGTAACCTGAGCAGACAAACTAAATGATGCTCAAAGATGGTAAAATTACTTCATTTAAAAGACAAAACTTCCCACATTGAAAGGTAAATAATGCAGTGAGTGGATTTATAATGATTTACCCCTGTACTCCATGTAGTCCTGCAGAATATCCAGCATCCTGGTCATCTGAGAGAACAGCAGGACGCGGTGTCCTCTTCACCCAAACAACGGAAACAGCAAAAGGCTTTAAACAACACTGGAATGTTTACAACTTACTTCAGTTTGTAAATAAAAACTATTGGTGAACTGAAAATGTAAAGGTACTGGTATAATGTAGACACTGAAGAAACTACAATGCTCGCTATGAAACATTATTCAGCCTTCAGTTGTTAGAAAGTATTTGCAGAAATAGTTTCATTGTTAAAATTCCTGGAAATGTTTTCCAGATGCATGAAAATCCTGTTAAAGTAACACAGCAGGTTTCCTTCTCCTCCACCCTAGTGGCTGAAGGTGGAATTACAACTGTCGCAAACTGGGATGCACAGATACCGATACTGGTATCAGTACTGATAAAAGGTCACCGATACCAATGCAGTTGCCTGAAAGTGGCTTCGCTGTAATTTGTAATTTCTGTTCACCTAATATATTAGTTTTGTGATAATTACTATTCATGTACCGTAAATCCTCTTAATATTAGCCTGTATTAAACTAACGGCCGGGTATCATATTCTGGCCGGTGTCGGAGTCGGCGGAGGTGAATAATGGCCGGTCTCTTATTGTGGCCGGGTGGAATGTGGTAACAAGCAAGTACGGGGGGGGGGTTGTGTCATCGTCTCACTTTTGATTTGCCAGTGATAGACCGCGAGGGTAACTTTAACCGTGCGGAGACGAAGAGGAGGCGAAAATTTGATATGAAGTTCAAAGAGAACGTGCTGATTATGCTGCAGACCACTCTGGGGAGCAGTAGCAGGGGTTGTATGAACTAGTCACTAGTCGACTTCACCGCTCTATAGTGACTTGTTATGCCTGTCATCGACTAGTCGCTGTCACGTGATAATGACCATCAGCAGGTGACAAGCTCCTGCGCGTCGGGAGGCAACGCGCTGTGCCAGAGCGTCGGTACCGACACCTGGTGTAAAACAGACATTTAACCAAATTGTGACCTTTACCCTCTTGCAATTTAACCTTCCCCTCACCCCCATCCTAACCTTAACCAGCTTGCACATGCAAAGCTCTGATTGTTGACGCGCTCCAGACATCTGCGTCCTGAGCACGTCCACAGTAACATCAAATCAGGTGTCGCCACCTCAAAAACTAATTTAACACGCAATCGTTCATGTCGGCTCATTTCCTTTTATGTTTTCTGTCTTTTATTGTTTTATTTGTGCCTGATGCTTCTCGCTGCTGTGGAGCGGGGCGCATCACCTGTTTTGTCCTCGGTGACGCACCGATCACTGATGCGGCCGCCAAGCAGCGAGCACTCCGCTGTTTTTGCGGTCGGTAGATCTTTTAGAGCTGCAGCTCAAAGGTAACTCATGAGGTGAATATATATGAACCCAGGTAGCAGTTTCTCTTTAGGATTGAGAAGAGATGCAGGAAGATATAAATAGGCAGGACAGAAAAATAGTCAAATAAAAACAAGTTAGTTTTTGTACCTGCTGGTTGCAACAAACAGACACCATTGAAGGTAATCAGAAGTGAGGAACAGAAATGAAATAATTATTTTAATGTTTAGAGCAGCAGGAACTCTGAGAGGCTGCAGGCGCATCAGTGAGTTTGTGGCTGCTGCGCAGGGGGAGGGGGGAGAGGGCTGAAGCAGGGGGAGGGGGGAGAGGGCTGAAGCAGGGGGAGGGGGGAGAGGGCTGAAGCAGGGGGAGGGGGGAGAGGGCTGAAGCAGGGGGAGGGGGGAGAGGGCTGAAGCAGGGGGAGGGGGAGAGGGCTGAAGCAGGGGGAGGGGGGAGAGGGCTGAAGCAGGGGGAGGGGGAGAGGGCTGAAGCAGAAACTACCGTTGTTAAAAGAAATGTGTTTAACTTTGAAAATGTGGGCGCAAGTTTATTTGTCAAAAACTCCAGCGAACCATTAGTTCATTTTGCTCAAATAGAAATAGAGGCCTGCCTCTAATTCTGGCCCTCCTTCCAATAAAGGCCCGGAGCTTGATGAGCTTGAGTCAAATGCAGGCCCGGGCCTGTATTAGAGGATTTACGGTATTTTACTTTTTTCTATTCATATATTTCACTTTTTATCTACCTCATAGTTTTTCCTGTTGAAAGCAGAGAAGAAAATAAAATCTGTATTCCAATTCATAGCATTTTTTTGTGTGGTAGAAGTATTGGTATCGGCAATCGGTATCGGCGAGTACCTCGATCCAAGTATCGGTATCATATCGGTTTGGAAAAAAGTGGTATCGTTGCATCCGTACCCATGAACAACCGTTCAGCAGCCTACTGTAGCTGGCGCTAACAATGACCTAACACTAACACGAGCCACTAAATAAACCTCAAATCAAAATGACAACACTCCAGCAGAAACAAAGCCAGGTCATCATCAGCCCGTAATTCCATAGTCTTTTTCAGCCTCCTCAAACTAGTGTAGGCCACGCAGATGTTTCCTCCGGTTTTAGCTCTTTGCTTCGCCTCCAAAGACATTACTATTTGACTTTTAATTCCAGGCTCCACCATGATGCCAACAGAAAGCCAAGCTCCTTATTTTTCTTGTGCTTTTCATTGATGTGATATTGTAAAATGGAAAAAGCTAACTGCACAGAAAATAGCTAACAAATGTAAAGCAGGTATAAGAGTTCCCCTAGAACACCTACCCCCTCCACAAAAGTGTTATGTGCTGCACCTGGCGGGCAGAGGGCTGCAGAATGGAGTCAAATATGAATCTGGTCAAGTTTCTGACCCACCATCGCTGAGATCAAGGTTAAAGCTCTGACTTATAAAAAACTATTTAGTGTTACTTTAAAACTGTTTCTTTCCTATTTTTATCAACTTTCTTCATTATTTTATTTGAAAGTGTTTTGACAGGAAACATTTGTGCAAAACTGTTATTTTTCTTATTTTGACCAAATGTCCCAGAAAAAGATGTTTTGTGTGAAACTGATGTTCCTGGGTAAATAAAATGCAAAAAGCATGCATTTAAACACATGGCCTAACCGTGCATAACTACTGCATAACTACTGCATAACTACTGCATAATTACTGCACTCTTCTCAAGGAAGTTGTTCCTTTGACACGTGGAGCTGATCTCATGCAATAAAAAACACGTCTAAACCAGATTTGAGTAGAGATTCATGTTCATGTGAGACTAATGACATTTGTTGGGTCCTTTGTGTTGTTTACATTTTCTGACATGACATTAAAGATTTTTCAATGTTTCAGTTTTGGCTCAAATTAAATCCGATCCCAGAATGAAAACAGGCACACATTTCTGAGAAGCACCTGTCCAGTAAAACGTTCTAACCTGAAAACTGCCCACAGCTTTATTTTTGACTCCGTGTTGAATACCAAGTACGGTGTACCTAAAGTGCCACCAGGTAGCGCCAGCCGCACACAGATACACTCACTCTTTGTGCAGAAATGCCAGCAGGCGGTCCAGGAGACACAGTTTCCCACTGGCTTCAACCAGATGCTCCCCCATCTCAAAGGGTTCAGGTTCGACCCCTGAGGAGGAACCAGAGGCAGAATCATCAAAGCTGATCTCACCTACGGTAACATCTGGTCTTTACTGAGCTCCTCCTACCGTCAAACAGGTATGGGTGGTCAACACACTTTCTCAAGTTCATCAAGATATTCAGCAGCCTGTTCCTGCTGCCTTGCTCATTTCCAAAAGCCTCTGAAAGGTTCAGAATGAGAAAGTTGGGTTGAGATTTATCCACTAAAATCATGACAAGATTTACACAAGTCTCACCAATGTCCTTCAGCAGGATGGCCTTGTAGTACTTCTTTTGTAGAGCAGACATGCCGTGGTACACCACCAGTTCCATCTTCTTGGGCAGATCAACAGCCACCTCTGATTTGATTCTGCGGAGCAGAAAAGGCTCCAAGATGCTTTGGAGATCAGCAGCTGGAGAAAAGCGACACAGAATGACCGCCATTTGTAACCAAGACCAGAAAGCAGACTTCAGTCCAAACCAGGTGCAACGGTGTTCTGCTGAGTCATGGAGGGGGCCATCAGCTGGCACACTGCTGCGAACCACTAGACCCCCCCCCCCCCTCCTTAAAATAACATTTTACTTTAACATGCAGAGGGGTGAAAAACTATCTGCCCTCTTCCTGATCTCTTATTCTTTTGCATGTTTGTCACACAAAATGTTTCTGATCATCAAACACATTTAACCGTTAGTCAAAGATAACACCAGTAAACACAACATGCACTTTTGAAATGATGGTTTTTATTATTTAGGCAGAGAACTAAATCCAAACCTACATTGCCCTGTGTGCAAAAGTAATTGCCCCCTGAACCTAATAACTGGCTGGGCCTCCCTTACTGCCATCAAGCGTTTGCGATAACTTGCTACGAGTCTTTTACGGCGCTCTGGAGGAATTCTGGCCCACTCCTCTTTGCAGAATTGTTGTAATTCAGCTTTATTTGAGGGTTTTCTAGCATGAACCGCCTTTTTTGGTTTAGTTTATTTCAAACAAAGAAAACATACATAATTTTTTTAAAATACCACAAACAGAAAAAATACATATCATCATCCCTTCTTCTCTGTTTGAAAAGGAGTAGGCTGAAGTGGGAACTTATATGTCCTTACCCCTTTATACAAGTAAGTTTTACTTGTTTACTAAATCTAACACAAAACCTACATTAAAACAAACAAAATGGTACAAGTCACAAAAAAAAAAAAAAACCACAAAACCATATGGAAAAAAAACAAGAAAAAAAAACATCTTTTTACAATTGATACGATTTACTTTTCCTTGGAATAAAGGACACCCACATAAATCATCGATTTTCCACTATATACTTGCTCAGAATATGTTTTTTATAATTCATTTTAAACACATTTATATTTGTACTTACTTTGATTTCTTCTTCTAAATTGTTCCATAATTGAACCCCTATTATTGTGATGCACATCTGTTTTAAAGTTGTTCTAAACTTATGGATCTTTACGTTTAGTGTCCCTCTCAGGTTATATCCTCCTTCTCTCTCTGTGAACAGTTTCTGTATTTTATCAGGCATTAATTTATTTCTTACTTTATACATTATTTGTGCTGTTTTGTATTTAACCAAGTCCTGGAACGTCATTGTCCGTGTTTTAATAAAAAGTTCATTTGTGTGATCCAAATATCCTGCATTTGTTATTAATCTGATAGCCCTTTTCTGCATTGTTGTTAATGTCTGTAAATGACTTTTGTACGTGTTTCCCCAGACCTCTACACAATAGCTCAAATATGGCAGTAGCATCGTATTGTATAATATATAAAGTGCTTTCTGATTAAAAATATACTTAGCTTTCCCCAATATAGCAATGCCCCGTGCAAGCTTCCCCCTAACATATTTGATGTGTGGCTTCCAACAGATCCTGCTGTCTATGACCACCCCAAGAAATGTTATTTCATATACTCTCTCAATTTTTACATTATTAATTACTATATCTAATTCATTGTATCTGCTTTCATTACCAAACAACATAAATTTTGTTTTTCTCTAAATTTAGTGACAGTTTATTTACATCAAACCATTTTTTAATTTATTTATTTCCTGTGTGACCACATCCAGGACCTGTTGCAATTCCACACCCGAGCAAAAAACATTTGTGTCATCTGCAAACAATACAAACTTCAAAACTTGTGAAACCCTACAAATGTCATTCATGTACATTATGAATAGTTTAGGTCCTAAGACTGATCCTTGAGGTACCCCACATTGTATCTCTCTTAGTCCTGATTTATGTTGGTTTATTTGCACATATTGTTGTCTATTTGATAAATAACTTTTTATCCAGTCCAATACTATACCCCTGAAACCATATTTTTCCATTTTTCTCATCAATACGTCATGGTTTACTGTATCGAAAGCTTTCTTCAGATCTAAAAACAACCCTATTGCATGCTTCTTTTTGTCAATGCATTCTGTTATTTCCTCATTAAGATCAATCAGTGCCTGGACTGTCGACCTGTTATTCCTGAAGCCATACTGGCTTTCCGTCAGCAACTCACATTGATCAACAAAATTATCAAATCTTTTAACAAACAGCTTTTCTAATATTTTGGAAAATTGTGATAGTATTGACACAGGTCTATAATTTGTAAATTGATGCTCATCTCCTGTCTTGTAAATAGGAATTACCCTGGCTACTTTCATGTTATTCAGAAAAACCCCTTTTGAAAAGAAAGATTACAAATGTGTGTTAATGGTTTTACAATGCCCTCAATCACACATTTCAGTGTTTTCATGTCAATATCGTTCCAGTCTGTACTGGTTTTATTCTTCATATTTCTAACTATCTCATAAATCTCCTTCTCATCAACTGCTCTTAAAAAAACTGAATTTTTATTTCTTTCAACATACTCTGTGGCATCCGTTTGTATCTCATCAACCATTATTTTGTCCTCCAATTTACATCCTATGCTTACAAAATATTTGTTGAATTCATCCACTGCTTCATTCATGTTTGTAATATTATTTTTTCTCTCTATAAAATGTTGTGGATAGTTATTATTCCCTGTCTCTTTCCTAATTACGCCATTTAATACTTTCCAGATGCCTTTTATGTTGTTTCTATTGTGCTCTAACTTTTTAATAAAATATTCACGTTTACACCTTCTCACTATATTTATGAGTTTGTTTTTATATCTTTTGTACTTTTGTTCTGCTTCTGTCGTTCTGTTTTTTATGAATTCTCGGTAAAGTGTGTTTTTTTATTTCATGCATTTTGTAGTCCTTTTGTCATCCACGGTTTTTCTTTATACTTATTCCTCTGAATATTTTTGATTACTGGACAGTTTCTGTCAAATTGACTTTTAAATATATTTAAAAAGGTATCATATGCTTGGTCTACTTCATTTTTTCATAAACAATATTCCAATCTTGTTCTAATAGATCATTTTTAAGACTATTTAACCTCTGTTCTGTTTCATTCTTTTATACATATAGTTAGTTTCTTCTGTTTCATTTTTATAATGACAGTCATAAGAAGCAAAAACCGGTAGATGGTCACTCATATCGCTTATTAATAACCCACTTTCCACCTTTTCTTCCGTTATATTAGTGAATATATTATCTATTAAAGTAGTGCAGTGTAATGTTATTCTAGTCGGTCTGGTTATCAATGGAAATAAACCTAGACTGGACATTATATCAGTAAATTCCTCTGTACTTTTGTTTTTATTTGGATTTAGCAAGTCTATATTGAAATCTCCACAGATAAACACTCCCTTCTGGTACAAATTTGTGAACATCTCCTCCATTTTATTCTTAAATGTTTCAATCTTAGAGCCTGGTGTTCTATATATACAGCTTACTAATATGTTCTTCTTCTTTTTCATGCTTATTTCTACTGTTACACATTCCATCACTCCCTCAATAGTAGTCGTCATCATTTCTGCTTTTTTGTAATTAAGATTTTTGTCAATATAAAGTGCCACCCCTCCTCCTTTTTCTTATTCTGTCTTGGTGGATAAAGTCATATCCATACAATTCAAAATGTCCTTCCTTTTTATGTGTTATCCATGTCTCTGATATGGCAATGACAGTAAATGGTTTCTTGAATTGTGCTATATATTCCTTGATGGTGTCAAAATTTGCATACAAGCTACTGCTATTGAAATGAGCCATTGTCAAACTATTTTCTGACTTCATCTTCATGTTGAATTGTTCTTCATTGTAATAATTACATTCATGTATTTCATTATTAAAGAAATTGTAATCAGGATCAATATTGTTGTCAAAATCCAAAAACCTTTACAGCCTATATTTGTGTCAATATGTAGTTCATTTGTCATCCTGTTAATTGTAAATTTCTGATCTCCCTCACACTAATCACGTTTCAAAATCCAAATATCATTGAAAGATCAATTCCTAAATGAAATTTCATCTTCCTCATATTTTAATCTACAGATTCCATTCCTCTATCCCATCATCTCTTTCACTGAAATTGATCCAAATCTTCTAAACTTTTGATCACCAGTATCTTTGCTTCTTCTGGAGTTCCATTCAATTTAACAAAAACTTTATAGTTTGCAGTCCAGGTACCCTGGATCTTTTTCTGCTTCCTCAGAAAACGGGCTTTCTTTGCAGTTTCTGCATTATACATTGTCAGATGCTCATTTACATAGACCTCAGCTCCTTTCAACTATTTTACCTGCTTAAGGAGTGAATTTTTCATCTTTCTGCTCACAAATCTCATTAACACAGACACTTTTCCCTTCGTATTCCTGCTTGATAAAACATGACACGCTTCAATGTTGTTCTCACTGATTTCAATACCCTGTGAGTGAAAGAAAGTCGTCACCTGCCTTTCTACATGATTCATATCTGTTTCACTTGGTTTCTCCCCACTGTTATTGGCTACTGCTCGAGCATATGATCTAGGTTTTATATCAACTCCTGTAATGACAACATCATTTATTCTTGAATATTGCTCTAGTTCAGGGATTCCCAAAGAGTGGTGCGCGCACCCCTGGGGGTGCGCGAGCTGCCGCTAGGGGGTGCGCGAGGTGAAAAGTGTAATGGCTGCGGAGCTCAGAGAAGTCTGTCATATGTCACCATTAGCGTAGAAACTCATTTGTGGGTGGGCCAAAGAAAAAGTAAGTGGGCCCAATAAATGTAATTGAAAACAAGTATATTTTTGCGTGCGCGCGTGTCCTCCACATGTGCCCTAGCTTCATAATAACAATGCGCCGAGCTTCAGCACTCTGGCCTGCGCACGTCGATATGTTCTGCATTTGATCATTTTTAACGGTGTTGGAGGAATCTGAAGGTGGCGAGTCATTCTGGCAGATTGTAATTAACACCTGTCTCATGCAGGTGTTCTGACGTTGTAAACCTCACACACAGAACATTGTGGAAGTAACTAAATAACAAGAAATGATTCCCATTCAGGCTATTGACAGAAG